CAGTGCAGTTAGAAGTGGCGTTGGAAGTGGGGTTTAGAGCAGTCTGGAGCTTTTGTCTCCTTCCCACTAGGGCAATCCAGGGGCACAGTCAACAGTCTGTTCTCTGGACACAAGGTGTGCGACTCCAGGGCTCTGCCTTTCGCCGCTCCCCTGAGTTTCCACCTTACAGCCCAGACTCCCTCCGTATGAGCCTGGGTCCCTAGGATCTTGCCCAGAACTGGGGTTCAGTGCTGTTGGAACTGGGGCTCAGCACAGTCTTGAGCTTTTGTATCCCCGCTAGGGCAATCTAGCAGCAGAGTCAACAGTCTGTCCTCTGCAAGCAATGTGCACCCCTCTGGGACTGCCTTTCGCTGCTCCTCTGAGTTTCCGCCTTACAGCCCAGACTCCCTCCGTATGAGCCTGGGTCCCCAGGATCTCGCCCAGAACTGGGGTTCAGTGCTGTTGGAACTGGGGTTCAGCACAGTCCGGGGCTTTTATCTCCTTCCCTCTAGGGAACGCCAGCCAGGCAGTCAGCTGCCCCTCTCCGGCTCCGTCCTCTCCCCATGTGCACACTGCATCTCCGTACCTTAGGCTTTTATGGCTCCTCTGATTTTCCTTCTGGTTTTCTCTTTCCTTCTAGTTGTAGAATTTCCAGTCAGCCAACTTTCCTGTAGTTCTGGATAATGTCCATTTTGTATTTTAGTTGTATTTTTTTGAAATTGTTGTGTGAGGCTGCAGTTAGGTGTTTACCTATGCCAACATCTTGGTTTCTCCTCGGGAAGTTTTATTTTTAATAGATAAGGAAAAAAGTTCAAGAAAGGTGGGAGAGAGAGGGTTAAAGGGTTTATGAGAGAGAATGAAAGAGTTTATCTCAATATATTAAAGGATGAGCGACCATCCAACTGTCTGACTGGCCGGTAGGTATGATGAACACTGACCACCAGAGGGTAGACACTCAACGCAGGAGCTGTTGAACTGTGGTGACTTGGTAATGGCGGTTCTCAGGTGACACACCCCAGAACCAGAGAGGAGAGAGCCAGATTCTGGGGTGTGTCACTCAAGAACTGCCCTCTCCAATCCGAGACCCCTCGGGGGATGTCAGAGAGCCTGTTTCAGCCCGATCCCCACAGGCCAGGTCGAGGGACCCCACCTACTCGAGGGATCCTGCTCTCTCTGCAGATGCCCTTCAAGCTGCAGTGCTGCCCCAGGTGCAGCCAGCTGGGGAGGGACCGTGGGAGGTTAGCTCCAAGGTATGTCCAGCCTGTCTCACCCAGTCCTGACCCACCAGCCACCTTCTAATTAATTTCCTTTCCATGTGCACGAATCTGTGCACCAGGGCACTGTATCTTCATAACAAAGAGCCTGGATTAAAAGGGGAAGAAAAAGAAGAACAATCACTGCCCTGAGGGATCCAAGATGGCTGCACAGGTAAACACCTAGGCACCTGCACACAACAATTTCAATAAAATACAACTAAAATATAAAGACATTATCCAGAGCTACAGGAAAGTCGACTGACTGGAAATTCTACAACAAGAAGGAAAGAGAAAACCAGAAGGAAAAGCAGAGGAGCTTTAAAAGCCTAAGGTACGGAGACACGCTACGCGTGAGGAGAGAACAGAGCCTGAGAGGAGGGGGAGGCTGAGTGCCTGGCTGGTGTTCCCTAGCAGGAAGGAGATAAAAGCTCCGATTGTGCTGAACCCCAGACCCAACAGCGCTGAACCCCAGTTCTAGGCCAGACCGTGGGGATCCAGGCTCAAACAGAGGAAGCCTGGGCTGTGAGGCAGAATCCCAGGGGAGCAGCGAAAACTAGAGTCCCGGGAGTCGCGCACATTGAGCGCAGAGGACGGACTGTTGATTGCTGCTAGATTGCCCTAGTGGGAAGGAGACAAAGGCTCCAGACTGTGCTGAGCCCCAGTTCCGACTGCTCTGAACTCCAGTTCTAGGCCAGATCCCAGGGACTCAGGCTCAAACAGAGGGAGCTGGGCTGTAAGGCAGAACTCCGGGGGAGCGGCAAAAGGCAGAGCCCCTGGAGGCGAGCACATTGAGCGCAGAGAACAAACAGTTGGCTGTGCCATGGGACTGCCCTGGCGGGAAGGAGACAAAAGCTCCAGACTGCTCTCAACCCCACTTCCAACCCCACTTCCAACTGCACTGAACCCCAGTTCCAGGCTCATTGGGGGAGAGCTTAGACTGTTTGATAGCAGGCGAAATTCTAGGGCACCTCACTCTCAGAGGTGCTTGCAGCAAGTACAGTAGGACCCTGAGGAATACTGAGACTCAGGAGCCGCATAGGGCATGGATGACGTGGCTGACAGAAGCCAAGGCTGTAGGCTCCACCCTGAAACTCCACCCCATCAAGGAAGCTGCAAAAATGCGGAGACAAGGAAATAGATCACAAACGAAAGAAATGGAGGACAAAAAGCGACTGGATATAGAGTTCAAAACCACACTTATAAGGTTGTTCAAGAATTTCCTAGAAAAGATTGATAAGTCCTTTGAGGATATGAAAAGGGATCAACTAGAAATAATAAGGAATCAACAAGAAATAATAAGGGATCAACAAGAAATAAAGAATACATTGTCTGAAATAAAAAATATTTTATGGAGTCCTAAAAACAGAATGGAAGATCGCAAGAATCAAGTCAAAGATTTGGAACATAAAGAGCCAGAAGACACTCCTCCGCAGAAGCAAGAAGACAAGAGAATCCAGAAAGTTGAAGATAATGTAAGAAACCTCTGGGACAACTTCAAGCGAACCAACATCAGAATTATGGGGGTCCCAGAAGATGAGAGAGAGCAAGATATCGAAAACATACTGAAAGAAATAGTGACAGAAAACTTTCCCCACCTGGTGAAAGAATTAGACTTACAAGTCCAGGAAGTGCACAGAACTCCAAACAAAAGGAATCCAAAGAGGACCACACCAAGACAAATCATAATTAAAATTCCAAGAGCAAAAGACAAAGAGAGAATATTAAAAGAAGCAAGAGCAAAGAAGGTAGTTACCTATAAAGGAGCACCTATACGATTGTCAGCTGATTTCTCAACAGAAACCATGCAGGCCAGACGGGAATGGCAAGAAATATTCAAGGTGATGAATAGCAAGAACCTACAGCCAAAGATAATCTAATCTATCCAGCAAAGCTATCACTCAGATTCGAAGGTCAGATAAAGAGCTTCACTAATAAAAATAAAGCTAAAGGAGTTCATCACCACCAAACCAGAATTATATGAATTGCTGAAGGGGGTTCTTTCGGAATAGAAAGTAAATAAAAATAAAAACTATGAACAACAAATACGCGACTATCAACAAATGAATCTAAAAACCAAGGAAATTAAAAAAAAATTGATGAACAATATTAACTGTTGAATATAATAGAATCAAAGGTATGGAAGGGGAGTGAACTGATGATTCTCAGGGAAAAGGGGAGAGGGGAATGTGGGAAGAGACTGAACATAAACTGTGCACCTATGGATGAGAACAATGGGGGGTGGGGAAAGGGCTGAGGGTGGGGTGGGAACCTAGTGGAGGGGAGCAATGGAGGGGAGAAAAAAGAGGAACATTTGTAATAATATGAACAATAAAGATTTATTTAAAAATAAATAAATAAATAAATAAAAAATAAAAGGGGAAGAAAAAGAAAAATGAACCATCTATTGGTGAAGATTGTGTAAAGGTAGCTACAGGCAAATGAGGTTTTCCAGGGTACGTGGCACTGAGAAGACTTTCTATGAGAGACATGAGGCAAGCATGTGATTCCTTCCATTTCTCTCTCGCTCTCACTCTCTCACTCTCTCTCGCTCCCCCTCACCCCCCAGCCACCATCTTGAGAAGAATATCAAAGTAATGTAACAAGTAACATAACAATTTAGAGGTTCTTTGCAGGGCTACAGACTGTTCTTTTTTTTTTTTTTAATATATTTTATTGATTTTACAGAGAGGAATTGAGAGGGATAGAGAGTTAGAAACGTCTATGAGAGAGAAACATCGACCAGCTGCCTCCTGCACACCCCCCACTGGGGATGTGCCCGCAACCAATGTACATGCCCTTGACCGGAATCGAACCCGGGACCCTTCAGTCCCCAGGCCGACGCTCTTCCACTGAGCCAAACCGGCTTCGGCCAGACTGTTCTTTGTTAAAGATATTTCTGGAGGAGGGGGATTTTAGCAGATAAAGAGCTTTAAACCCTTTATCTATGTGTCGGGATGTCTCTTTGGGTACACTAGGCTTTGCTCTGAGAATAAATAAACCCTTGCATCTCAGTGCCAGAACACAACAAAAGTTGATTTCTTGCTGTAAGCCCTGTGTGGATGGTGGTCAGGCAGCTCTGCTTCTGTGGCTGCAAAGTCCCCCTGCCAGCAGGTGGTGAGTGTGGATTTGGGCAGTGGGGAGAAGGAGAATGGAGAACTTCACAGAGGTTTTAGGAGCCAGGCCTGGCAGTGGTGAATGTCCCTCCCATGGCCCTTTGGCCAGAACATGCCCCCTGCCACCACCCCCCAGCTGCAAGATGGCTGGGAACTATGTACTCAAGAAGAAACAGAAACAAACACAAAACATTATCTGTCACTAGAGCTGATGTCACGCTTATAAAAAGTGAGAAATTCTGAAACCCCCGGGAAGAAGGAATCGGTGCCATTTCACACCTGCCATTATAGACTTGGAGATTTACCTTTTGTGTGTGTTTTTTAATCGTCACCTGAGGACATGCTTTTATTAATGCTATAGAGAAAGGAAGGGAGAGGGAGAGAGAGAGAAGCATAGATGTGAGAGTGAAACATCAATTGGTTGCTTCCCACATGTGCTGGACTAGGGATCCAACCAGCAACCTGGGTATGCACTCTGACCCAGGAATCAAACCCGTGACTTTGTGGTGTACAGGACAATCTTCTACCAGTTAAGCCACACTGCCAGGGTGACTTGAAGGTTTTTAGAGCTTCCCACCTCTCTCTGCCCCACTTGAACCTAGACTTTGAAATACTTCCTGTCCCCAATACCAGCCCCTTCATGTCTTTGCAGATGTCAAGAAGAAAACTACGGAGGGAGAAGGAAATAACCCCACATGGAACGAAGTAAGATGTGCCAGGACGAGCCCAGAGGAGGCGGTGACACCCAATAGTGAGGGAGAGGACGTGGAGCCTCACAGCTTTTCCCAAGGCTGGGCATCTTGGCCCAGGAGTAGCCTCTCAGCTGACGAGGCTGTGGAGGCCTGAGGGCCGCAGCAGCCACATCTGCCCACCACTGCTCCGGCCCTTCTTCCCCACTCCTGGGATAGACCATGGTGTAGTCCGTCCTGTCTAGCCTGGCCACCCTGATGTCCCCAGAAACCTGAAGCAGAGACAGGGCTCCCTGTGCAAGATCCCTGCTCACTTTCTATCCACCCATGTTCCCACCACTCTTTGGTCCCCAAACCTCTTCACTAACATGCTCACGACACTGACATTCAAGCTATGGAGGCCCAGGGAGGAGGCCCAGAACCCTGGTAGCAAATGGCATCCTCTGAGGAAATTAGACTTGAGGGAGGGTCCTCAGGTTGAGAGAAACACAGTGCTACCCTATTGTCCTAGAACAGTGGTCGGCAAACTCATTAGTCAACAGAGCCAAAGACCAACAGTACAACGATTGAAATTTATTTTGAGAGCCAAATTTTTAAAACTTAAATTTCTTCTAACACCACTCCTTCAAAATAGACTTGCCCAGGCCGTGGTATTTTGTGGAAGAGCCACACTAGAGGGGCCAAAGAGCCGCATGTGGCTCGCGAGCAGCAGTTTGCCGACCGTGGCCCTAGAAGGATGGGAAGGGAAAAGTAGAGAAGGGATGCTGACTTCTCTGTGCTTCCCACAGACCTTAATTTGGCACCTCTGGGACCAACCCCTACAGGATGACTCTTTCCTGCAAGTCATCCTTCAGGACTTGTGCTCAGAAAAGAAAGGAAGGTAAGATAGATGCAGAGGAGCCTGACTCCTTAACAAAGCTACAGCAAGTCTCCTGCCTCTGATCCATAATTCAGTCACATGGACCAGAACCCACTCCAGCAGCTACTTCAGAAAGGCAGGGGGACTTGTGGGAAGGTAGTGAGTCTAGGAGAGAAGATCAACTAGAACTAGGAACCTAGGAGCTCAGGAGCAGCCTGTCTCTTCTGAAGCCACAGGATTCTCAAATCTCTGCGTCTCCCTGTTTGTCCCAGCAAGGCCCCATTCAGTTGAGACTGACATCCACTGAGATGGAAGCTATGGTATCCTAGATCAATATTTCTACAAGAAAGAATCCAATTGGCCTAGCTTTAGTCAGGTGTCCAGCCCCCGTCCAATCAGTTTCCCAATCTAGCTGTTATTTGGCACAGTTCCCATTCAGGATGAGTGTGGGAGCAGAGCTTCTGAGAAGGGGCTTGGCAGGCAGAGCCAGTAACTAGGGTGCCCAATGCCCAGGGAGCCCCAAAACCAATTCCCAGAGACTCGAGATCCTGTGTCCTCTTATGGCTGCTCCCCATCACTGTGTTCTTCCTTCGGCCCCTCTATGGGAAACACAGCCTCTCCAAAACCTTTGGCTCAATGGATAGAGCGTTGGTCTGTGGATGAAAGGTCTAGGTTTGATTCCCGTCAAGGGCATGTACATTGGTTTCAGGCACATCCCCTGTAGGGGGTGTGCAGGAGACAGCTGGTTGATGTTTCTCTCTCATCGATGTTTCTCTCTCATTGATGTTTCTAGCTCTCTACCCTCTCTGTAAAAAAATTAATAAAATGTCTTTTTTTTTAAAAAGAAAGGAAGGAAGGAAGGAAGGAAGGAAGGAAGGAAGGAAGGAAGGAAGGAAGAAAACACAGCCTCTAGGAGAGAAAAACGGCTCTAGATAAAATCCTGCTTGGGACGGGGAAGGACACCCCTTCCCCTGGCTCAGGCTCCCATCCCTGCTCCTTATCTCCCCAGGTTCATTGGCTTGGTCACAATATTGCTCAAGCCCTTGGTGATAAAACCAAGAAAAGTTCTTTTTGTGAAGGACCTGACCCTCCTCAACCATTCCATGAAGCCCACACATGTGAGTTGAGTCCCAGGAAGGGTGGTTGGAGGATTGGAGACAACCCGAGAAACTGGGCTCCTCTGCTCCAGCAGAGGGCCCGTGACCTCATCCAGAGACTGCGTCCTGCGCTCAGGGGTCCCATCACTGCCACCTTCCCCCTGACTTCCCCACTCGCCCGCCCGCCCACTTAGACTATCTACAATACATGGTCATCCGCTGGGTGTCTGTGACTGCGCTAGGCCTGGGATACTAAAGAGAATGAAACCCACCGTCTGCTGGAGTAGGCACCACTCAGATCACAAGTGCTCCAGCACAGTGGGCAAGAGTGGAGAGAGCTAGGTCACTGAGGTCAAGAGGGGATGAATGATTCTGCTTGGAGGCCGTGGAAGGCTTTCCAGAGGAGGTGGCCGAGCCGTGTGGAAGCAGACGAAGACCAACCAGATGAGAACCCACAAAGGCTACCGTATGTATTGAGAACTGGCGATAGCAGGGGAGTCGGCCACCATCACGTGGGTTTGGCAGAGACTCGAAGGCAGGCAGAGGAGAAGGGAAACGACAGCTGAAAAAGGGGAGACTCCGGTGCTTGTGGATGGGAGGTTGTTGGCCTGGGAAAGCTGTAAGTGATGTCACTAGAAGCTGGGCATCATATGTGATTGGTTAGGGTGCACATTTGGCTTTCTCCGATTAGTCCTAAGCTGGAAGTGCGGACAAAAATTAGGGCAGTTGCAGTTATTAATCCAGTCCTGGCCATTTGGGGCTGATCACTGTTGTTGGCTTCCTGGATTGTTGCTAGAGCTAGTGGTCTGGCTTCCTGTCAGTCTGGTTTATAGCACACTGGCTTTCTGTGCTGGTTATTGTAGACACTGGCTTGGTTTCCTGGGCTGGTGGGGCAGAGCTCTGTTTGCCTGTATGCTCTGGCTTATTGTCCATTTGCCTATTCAGTTTCTCAGTTTATAGCTTCCCTGCACCCAGACTGCACAAGGCCCCATGGTGTGGCATTGCACTATGGCCAGCACACTCCACCCTGGAGAACTGGGCATGGGCCCACCAGGCTGGGCTGCGTTTCAGTGTGGGGCTTGGCTAAGGATCGCATGGTCTGGTGTATAGCTCCCTTGTCTTTGCCTTGTAGTGCACTATCACCCTAAATGTGGCCCAAATGACCAGCCAGGATATTGAGAAGACAGGTATGGCTTTTCATGGAGCTTACCCCTGCCTTTCCCCAATCTATAGCTGGATGGGCATTTTGAGACCTTCAAGACCCAACCCTTGAGGCCTACAGAAGGATTGTAACCAGGTTAGGGTTTAGAGGCCAGATCCCCAGACACAGCTGAGGCTATCTGTCCCCTTAATGTGTCCATTTGTCATCTCTACATATGCATCCTCTATGGGCTGCAGGGAGAGCTAAGGATGGCCATTTCCAAGAGCCCCCATGTGTGGAGAGTGGGGCCCAGGGTTACTAAGGATAGGTGGGGGTCCATGGAATGTTCTGGGGCAGACATGTGCCCTTATCAGATCTTGGCCATATTTTCAGTCAGAAACTAGTCTTTGGGGATAGAATGATAAAATGGGGAAAATACCTCAATGTCCTGCGCCAGCCCTGAGAGCTGACCCTGGACTGTGTTTCCCCAGGAGATGGAGACCTCCTAGGCGTAACTGCCCTGGAAGCAGCCAGGCAGAAGCAGATGGCTCCCAGCTACGTCGCACACAAGGAACTGTCCTCAAAGCCGCAGCACTTTCAGGTTGAAAGCCCATGGAACTTGCACGACACCTCATGGTGTTCCAAGTTATCCCACCTCTCCACAAGTCCCCAACCTAAGGGCCTCGTTTTGTCCCCGGTAGGTCCAAGTGAAGGTGTTTGAAGCCCGCCAGCTCATGGGCAACAACCTCAAGCCATTGGTGAAGGTGGTCATTGGAGGCCATCAGAACCACACCCGCACAAAGATGGGAAGCAACCCTTTCTTCAACGAGGTGGGCTGCACCTGCCCTTCAGGGCTGAATGGGGCGCTTTGGCCAGTTGAGCCCATCGAGCTGGGCATTTCCTGCAGGCAGGCAGCCAGCTTGCTCCTGGACTGGAGTGTTTTCCTGTGTTCCACAAACACTTACCGAGAACCTACAGAGGGTGGAGCACTGTGCTTGGCACTGGGACCACAGATGGATAATTTGAGGGAATGATGGATAGAACTGTAGATGGGGGGAGGGAAGCCTGCACAATGCACTGGGGTCTGTCATGAATGGCACTTGGGAGTCATAGAGGGACTGAAGCAGGAGAGTGACAGAGCCAGGTTTGCATTTGGAAAGGAGGGAGTGGTGGTGGAGAGGACTGACAGGGCAATCTGGAAGGAGACAGAGGCTCCACTCTCCACTCCAGGGCGCTAGCTGGCCTCCAGCTGCTCATAGCAGGTTCTCTGGAAATCCCCACCCTGCCCTTTATCCAGGCAGAAACCCTCCAGGGGCCGGCAGGCCTCTGCTTCCGGAGGAGGAGGAGTGTGAGGGCAGTGTAGGCTGAGAGACAGGAAGAAGCTACCTTGGGGCTCACTGAGAACTAACTCCATCCCCATCCTGTCCTTCAGATCTTCTTCCAGAATTTCTATGAGATTCCTGCAAAGTTCTTCGATTACTCCATCTTAATCCAGGTAAAGAACCAGAAAAGATGGGCCCACTCTCTTGTCCCACCTCAATCCAAGGAAGCACTTCAGTCCCCCCAGCCCCACCCTTAGAGCCAGAGTCACCCCAGATGGTCTTTCTGACCCCAGGGCAGCATCTCTACCACCTCTTTCACTCTCCTGCAGCCCAGACCCTCATTCATTCATTCATTCATTCAGCAAATATGGAATGCCAACTGCTAGGCCCTGACCTGGACACTGAGGTGAACAAAGCAGCATCTCCCCAAGTACCAGGGCTCTCATGGCACCAGAGGATCCCTAATATTCTGGGGGGGAAGGGGTGTGCACATTCCACTCTTCTACCAGAAGGAGCTCGGGAACAGTGGTGAACATGTGTTTATCAGATGCCTCGTTTGTCCCAGCACAGGGCTGAGGAGAAAGAGGAGGCCACCCCCTCAGAGTTCCACATTTGTGGGAACACAGGCACATGGGAAATACCAGGACAGCAGGTGGTGAGAGTCCAGTGGCACACTTGGCTTTGTGTTGATCTTTGGGTTGAGTAGGTGAATTGGCCTCTTTAATCCATTTCCTCGTCAGGGAAATGGAGCTGAAAACCGGACCCCCCACAGGGTTTCTCTGAGAAGGAGAAGAAACCTGTGTGGCTGTACAGAACCCGCTACTGGATGTGCCCTTACAGCTCCTGCCCCGGGCGCGGAGGACGCTGGGCTGTGTGAACTGAACTCTTTCTGGCCGTTCCCCTGCAGGTGCAGAATGCCTCAGGGATAAGAGCCACTTCGGAGATCGGCAGATTCCAAGTGAGCACTGGGGGAAGGGGGAGGTTTGGGGAAGGGTCACCGAGACCCACCCACCCTGGGCTCCACCCACAGGGCCAGGAAAGGACTTGGATTCTCAAGCGAAAGATCCAGCTTTGAATCCATCCGCCTACTGGGTGACTTAGACAAGGCATCCTGGGCCTCTGCTTCCTGCAATGAGGATGATAGCTACTCAGGGCTGCTGTGAGGATTAAGGCACATCACATTCATGAGAACGCTGGGTGCCATGTTGACGTCCCCACACTTATAATGAGATTCAGTTCAAGCCTCTGTCTCCGGGAAACGGAAGCAGAAGATCCAAAAAGGCCAACCTAATTGTCCAAGAAACCAGACAGGCTGCTACCTATGAGGACAGACCAGAAAGTTTGCTTTGGACAGACACAGGCTGAAATGAGGAAAGTTTACACATCACAGAGTGCTGCGCAGATTCCCCAAATCCAGGAAGATCGGAAGAGGCAGGGTCGCCAGGTTAAAGACAGGAGGTCCCATTAAACCTGAGTGTTAAACAGCAGGGCTTTGTAAATAGAAGTATGTCCCAAACACTGCATGGCTCCTCACAAAATATTGCAGGGACAAAGTATACTGAAAAGTAGTCATTGTATACGTGCATAAAAATGTAAGTAGGCACCTGTATTTTTATTCAAATTTAAGCAGTCATCTGTATTAAACCTGGCAACCCACAAAAAGCGCTTCACCTGTTAGTGTCGCTGTAGGAGGAACACATGAGGCTGAAAGTGGTAACGATTCTAAATTTGTTGTGACGTTTGTGACAGAAGGGCTGAGAACAAAATGCCATCAGCAGGCCAGAGGAAGGGGAGTGGGATATTTATGTCTACCGTAAAGGCCAGAGTAACCGGGACGACCAGGTGCAGGTGGGAGGCGGGTGTACGTGGTCCATTGGAAACTGGGTAAGGCGATTGATGTCTTTAGAGATCTGTAATGAGCATCTGGGAGGGGGGAGAGCCCCAAGCTGGGTATAATGGAGCACAGAGTAAAGAATGTGCCCAACATTCCAGCCGGTTGTTTTTTCCTGTAAGCTGGGCTTCCTATAAGCTGAGGTTGATGAAGGAGGCTGATCTCGTTCTTCTGTGACTTCTTCGTGCTTAGGTGGGATGTATTAATAGAAATGTCCCTAATTAATTGGTGATTGAGGAAGGGGATGATCTCTAGTGTGGGTCTGGAATAGCATCATTTCCCCTATGGACCTGTTGGCAATTGCCTGAATGTGGTTTTGGAGGAAGGAGGAAAAGGCTCTTAGGATGCCTGGGCCAAAGATAGTGCCAGGAAGAGCATTAAGAGGGTCCCAACTAGAGGGAGGAGCCAGGAGGTCCAGTTAAGGTTCGGTAGCCAGCTGCCCAGGATTCTGAAAGTTGTTGTCAGACTTTTGAGACCCTTTCAACTAATTTATTGGCTCCATCCCTTACTCTGCCAGACTGGTTGGCATAAAAACGGCATTTTTAAAGTACCGAGTGCAGGGGAAAGGTAGAGAATATGCCCAACATCACCCCAAGAAAAGGCAAATTTAGGACAAATTAAAGTTAGGGTACTTTCTCACTACTTGCAACAAGCACATGAACAGTCTTGAACTGCCTCCCCCCCCCCCCCCCCCCCCCCCATCTTACTCTCCAAGCCACAGTGCAGGCTTAGAAATTAAGATTCTAGAGAGTAACTAGCAGGAGATAAAAAATGTTGTGCTTTTGACAAAGGGTACTGTGAAATTTTCAGAGAATAACCAATCATATGAATTGCTGAGTAAAATACAGAGGTTGGAAAAAAATCTGAGCTTTAAAAAAAAATCACTTTTTTGGAAATTTTCAACATACACAGAAGTAGAGAGAAAAGTATAAATTCCCACCTCCTCATCACTCAGCTTCACCAATTCATTGCAACTGGGTTTTTATCCAGCCCATTTCCCCAGCCCCAATGAATTACTTTGACTCAGTCCTCGTACATGGCAGTTTAATTAAAAATATTTTAGTGTGTAGTTCTAAAACATATCTTATTAAGCATAACAAATATGACCATCGCATTTAATTTAAAACCTTTTTAATTTGGTGTTCAAATTCCCCTAATTGTCTTGTGAATTCCTTTTACAGTTTGCCCAAACCAGGTGCATACATTGCAGTTGCTTAAAATGTATTATTAGGACTCTTTTATCCTGTTGGTCCCATCCCCCTTTTTTCTTCCAATTTATTTATTAAAGAAACACCTTTGTCCTATAGAGTCCCCTCCCGCTGCCCCATCTGGGTTTTGCTGACTGCACCTCCAGAGGACCAGGAGTTCTCAGGTCCCTCTGCCCAGATGCTTCATCTCGAGGCGGCCTCACCAGACTTGGGGCAATTGTTTGGCAAGATGGCTTCAGCAGGAGGCACAGATGTCTGCTGGTCTCTCTCTTTGTGTTGGTAACAGCTATTGATGACCACTGCCAAGATCTTCTGCTTCCTTCGAGATGGCTGAAGTTTTGGGTGTTGTTTTTTAGGGGTGACTGGCTTTGTTTCCTTCCAGCTTTATTGAGGTATAATTGACATATAATGAATTATACACATTTAAAATATGTAATTTGATACATTAAAAAAATACACACACACCCATGGAACCACCGTCATAATCAAGATAATGAACATACCTGTCACATCAATCATCCCCAAAAGTTTCCTTGTGCCCCTTTGTAGTTTTTGCCTCTAACCCCAACTCACCCCCTCATCCCCAGGCAATCAACGGTCTGCTTTCTGTAACTATAGATTGTACTTTCTAGAACTTCATATAAATGGAATCATACAGCATGCACTTTTTTTGTTTGACTGCTTTCACTCAGCATAATTATTTTAAGATTCATCCATTTTTCACACATCAATAGTTCATTTCTTTTTTCTTTCTTTTTTAATATATTTTATTGATTTTGTACAGAGAGGAAGGGAGAGAGACATAGAGCCAGAAACATCAATGAGAGAGAGTCATCGATCAGCTGCCTCTTGCACACCCCCTACTGGGGATATGCCCGCAACCAAGGTACATGCCCTTGACTGGAATTGAACCCGGGACCCTTCAGGCCCCAAGCCAATGCTCTATCCATTGAGCCAAACCGGTCTCAGCAATAGTTCATTTCTTTTTATTGCTGAGTAGTATTCCATTGTATTGCTATACCACAGTTTGTTTATCCATTCATCTGTTGATGAACATTTAGATTATTTTCAGGTTTTGGCTATTACAATAAAGCTGCTGTAATATTTCTATATATACAAGTCTAAGTGACCATTATGACTGGTCAACTGGAACAACCAGTTGACCAGTTGCTATGATGCGTACTGACCAACAGGGGGCAAATGCTCAATACAGGAGCTGTCCCCTGGTGGTCAGTGTGCTCCCATAGCCAACCTCCCGTCCCTCCTCTGGCTGGCCAGCCCCATGGGCCACAATTGGCCACAATCGCCGGTCAGGCTGAGAGACACCACCCATGCACGAATTCATGCACCAGGTCTCTAGTTGATGTATAAATCTTAGAGTAGACATATGCTTTAATTTCTCTGGAGTAGATATATAGACGTAGAATGACTAGTTCTAATGGTAAGTGTATGGTTAACTTTGTTGTTGTTTTTGTTAATCCTGACCCAAGGATATTTTCCATTGATTTTTAGAGAGAGTGGAAGGGAGGGGGAGAAACATCATTGTGAGAGGACACATTGATTGGTTGCCTCTTGCACATGCCCCAACCAGGGCTGCAATCGAGATATATACACTTGACCTGGACCCTTCAGTCCACAGGCTGATGCTCTATCCACTGAGCTGAACTGGGTAGGACTAAAGAAAATTCTTTTATATATATATATATATATATATATATATATATATATATATATAGCACACACACACACACACACACACACACACACACATATATATATATATATATATATATATATATCAATAATATATATATATATATTATTGATTTTTTACAGAGAGGAAGAGAGAGGGATAGAGAGTTAGAAATATCGATAAGAGAGAAACATTGATCAGCTGCCTCTTGCACACCCTCCACTGGGGATGTGCCCACAACCAAGGTACATGCCCTTCACCAGAATCAAACCCGGGACCTTTCAGTCCACAGGCCAATGCTCTATTCATTGAGCCTAACCGGTTTCGGCAAGAAAATTCTTTTTTTTTTTTTAAATATATTTTATTGATTTTGTACAGAGAGGAAGGGAGAGAGATAGAAAGTTAGAAACATCGATGAGAGAGAATCATCGATCAGCTGCCTCTTGCACACCCCCTACTGGGGATGTGCCTGCAACCAAGGTGCATGCCCTTGACTGGAATCGAACCTGGGACCTTTCAGTCCCCAAGCCGATGCTCTATCCATTGAGCCAAACCGGTCTCGGCAAGAAAATTCTTAATGGTGTTTTCATAAAATTCCAAACAAGCTTTATCACTTTATATTCCCATCAGAGATATATTAGAGTTTTAGTTGCTCCACATTCTTATCAACACTTGATAAAGTCTATCTTATTTTATTTTAGTCATTCTAATTACGTGTAGTTGTATCTCATGGTGATACACTTCCCTGATGACTAATGATGTTGAGCATCTTTTCATGTGCTTATTTGTCTTGAATATATCTTCTTTATCTGTTCAAAATGTCTGTTCAAACTTTTTGCTTGTTTTCATTGGGTTGTTTTCTTACTATTTAGTCTTGAAATTGTCTTTTATATTCTTAAGCCCATTATCAGATATATGATTTGGAAATATTTTCTGCCAGTATATGACTTGTCCTTTCATTTGTTTGATAGTGTCTTTCAGAGAGCAGAAGATTTTTAAATTTCAATGAAAGCCCAATTTATCAGATTTCTTTTATGAATTGTGCTTTTGTTGTTGCCTCTAAGAAATCTTTGCCTACTCAATCCAAGGGGGTATGGTTTTAAAGCAGGCCTGACATGCAGAACTGGGCACCGCTCTGTGGACCCTTCAGATGTGAGTGACAGGGGTGGCCTTGCTCCGTAGCACATCAATGCTGTACCACATGCTGCAGCCTCAGTCAGAGACCTTCTCACAGGAAAAGGGAAAACTCATAGTCTCTCTGCCAACAATTCTCTTGACCATTCTCTTCCCCATCCAGGCAGTGCTGCTTGGTGGTTAAGTGTCCTTCCAATCCAGGCCTCCCCTTTTACTAGCTATAAGACTTTGAGCACTTCCCTCAAACTCACTATCTTCCTCTAGAATGGAGGAGACATGGACCAACTTCCAGCTTGTTGCAAAGACTTAAAAAGTTAGGGCAGGTCAAGTGGCTAATATTGTCATCAGCATAGCTAGTATTACAAATCTTGGCAGGTGGTGCTAATTAATCTTTATTCCACTCTTTGTCTTTTCAGACAGATATTGGTTTTATCTACAATTCTCCAGGTAGGTAAATAGTTGCAAATATGTGTGCCTTCTGAAAAAGACCAGGCCAGGTGTCAAAACATCATAAAATCTTTGTATGTTGAACATATGGGGAGAGTAGTCAAGGGTGTGAATTATTTTTCATACTTGATAATATTTTATGGTGCTTCATGGCATTTTATCTTGTTTTGTAAGAACATCTTTCTCTTTAAAACTGAAGAAATCCCTTTGGGTCAAATGCTAATATTTTAATGCAGCTTGTGCTGACTTTCTTTTTTAAAATTGTTATTTATTTATTGATGAGAAAGAGAGAGAGAGAGAGACTTTGATTTGTTGTTCCACTTACTTAGGTATTCATTGGTTGATTCTTATATGTGCTCTGACCAGGGATTGAACCTGCAACCTTGGAGTATCAGGATGACGCTCCAACTAACTGAGCTACCTAGCCAGGGCCAGCCTTTCTGTTTTTGAGTTCATTGGGGAATTGAAGTTTGGGCAGAGATTTCCTCTGTGACCTGGCTAATATACCAGGTTCACGTTGGGACTTGAAGTTGGGGAGAATGCTTGTCTTTCTCAGACCAGGATCGTAACAACTTTATGTTCCCAGAATGAGAAAGAGGGGTCCTTGTTTTCTAACAGCATTAGCTGGCAGCCTGGTGAGTGCACCATCTTGGCTTAACGGTAGGAGTGACTCTCATTGTCCTACTACTGGATAGCAACTGATATATGATTGCACACTCCTCTCCCCCACAAACAAAGCCAGGTTTCAGGGGAGAATAATGGAAACTGGAAGCTGGTCTCCCATGGACCCTCTGACTTTCCAGATCACGCACTCCAGAGGAAGTGGTTAGGCCTCTGCCAACCAAATGAACCCCACAGTGGTGTGAGAGGCTACCTGAAGGTCACCATCTGTGCTCTCGGTGTGGGAGACCAGGCCCCGGTGAGGCTGCCCCCGCCCATGCCCAAGTAACCTTTCCTGCCCTCACTGCTTCTGTGGGGCACCCCTGGGCCTTCACGTGCTTTCATTGTCCACGATGTCACTTCAGAGTTGTCCACTTATTCCCCCAGTGGCTGTGGCCGTGACCTCCCGGCAACTTTGACCCTGCCAGCTCTCTGGTCTCTCCAGGTAGATCAAAAGCTGCCCTATGATGTCGATGACACCAAAATTCACATCTTGAAGTCAACAATAGTCCCGGTGAACCTGGCCTACTTACAGTTCTTCATCTACTGTGCAGAGGACCTTCACCTCAGTGAGAGTCAGGGTGGCAGGGAGGAAGCAACTCTGAGGTGCCCTACATGGTGGCACCTAGGTTCCCATGGGGTTTGCCTGTCCCATATGGACACTAAGATCTGGGGTGAGGGAGAGGGTAAAGCTAAAATCCACCAAGAGTAGTTTTATGCAAACCCTATCATACCCATTAAATTGGGTCGTTTATTCCTGAGCTGTCTTTGATGCTCGGGAGCAGAGGTTCACTATGCCAGCCCCATCCCTCTGCCTTTATGGGTCATGCCACAGAACAGCACACACAGAGACAATGAAAATGGGAGAGGTCTTTCCAGGGGGCGCCAAACTACATTATGGGGGAGGGTTTTAAGGTGACCTCTCCATTTCCTTGTCCTCAAAAAAACAAACAAAACACCACACACACACACACACACACAAAAAAAAAAAAAAAAAAAAAAAAACAAAAAAAACCTGTTATCTCAGAAATCTTTTAACTTCTTGTTTACAGAGAAACACCATTTAGTGAGTCCAATGTTGGAAGTGGAACTAATCGGGGAAAAGGTAAGTGTAGAAAGGGTATGTGGCTTAGAGAAATGGTCACCCAGAAAAACATGGTGTGGGGTAAGACTCGGTTGGTAGGCAGGACTCCAGGAATCATCTCCCAGTTCTTCCATTAAAAGGCCATGTGATCCCACTGGACCAGGAACTCAGTGAAGGTGGAGCCATGGCTTAGCCCCATCTCCCAGAGCTGTGCCCTGTGCCCAGTGCCCAGCATGGAGAAGATGCCCCTGAAAACCAAAGACACAAATGCCTGATGAGTGAGTGACTGAATGAAGCAACACGCTGCAAATGAGCCTCGCTGAACCCGGCGCCATCCCTTCTGAGCCTCTGTTCCTTCATTTATAAACTGAGGGTTCTAGCAAGAGAGTTGCTGGCATTCCATGAATGTCTGAACAGAGTAGCATTTTCCAAAGTGTGCTGATGGATGCTTTGTGCAAAAAGAATCCTGTGTTCAAATTCGGTGAATGCTGGGCTCACGTTAAGTAAGCTTGTCTCAGAATTTAAAAACCATCATTTCCACCATTTTGTTCTACCTATTAGAAGTCATTAAATCCAGCCCATATATAAGGGGAGGGGTTAGGTAGTGTCACCTTTTGAAGGAAGTAGTGCCAAAAAACCGGTGGACATACCTTAGGACCACCACTCTGAGCACGGTTTGGATTCAAGATCTAGATAAGATGATCTTCAGTGATAGTTGAAACCTATTTTCAAAATTTTAATATGTCAGTGCTTTTCTGAGTGTGTATTACAAAGCTTAGCCAGTCCCACTACCCTTTGAGTTCTCTGACATGACTGCTTAGATTAAGACTAGATTTTTAAAATGATGCTTCGAGAAGAGATACCATGTGTGCTGCTGCTGTTGGAGCTGTTTTGACCACTTTTCTGTTGGGATCGTAGAGTTTATCTGACACAATCTAAGTGTTAAGGGATCGGAACCTGGGTAGGTGCACAAAGGACCAAAGTTGTAGCTGATGAGAGGTTGTCCAAGTGTCTTTAGGCCAAGGGCGTCCCATGATTAGCCCTGTGGGCAGACCCGAAGGGCTGGAAGGTGAGGCCTGTGGAGGGAGCAGGGGACAGACTGGCACTGACACCGCTTTGGGATATTCCCAGCTGAAGACACAGGTGAAGACCCAAACCGAGAACCCCATCTGGAACGAGATCCTGACCTTACAGATTCAGGTATTACCCTCCCATCATGCCTGCCTCCTCCCCTGCCCCACAAACGGAAAGGATGTTTGGGTGTTGGTGTGTGTATCAGTGTGGTGGAAGCGGGGGGGGGGGGGGGGGGGGGGGGGGAAGGGGCGCCCAAGAAGCACCTGAGGGAGCACGAGAAAGCCCAGGACTATTATGGAAAACCATACTGCATCCAGGATTAATAAATAAGTGAGCCATTCAACTGAGCATGCCAGAAAACTTAAATGTGTCCTCTCACTTACATTCATAAAGATTGTTTTGTTATTTAATGTAAGACTCGTTCTATGCATTATCTCCTAGGCCAAATGCCCAGAATAGAATGTCAGCTCTTTGTTGATGGCCTAGAGGTACCATGGGCCCAACATGGTTGGGCTATTGGTTCCTACACTAAATGCCCAAGAGGCTCTCTGTGAAGCGTCCTGAGGCCTGATTTTTATAGCCTTGCAGTCCTTCTCGGTCACCTGTCAATGGTGTGGATGCGGTTCTCTTCAAGCCCTGGCAGCCAGGCTTCCAAGAGCCGGGTGCACAGTGAGGGAGGCACGTCTGAGGGAACCTGGGCACTCTCATGAGCGCAAGGCACAGAACTCTGGGTGCCATCTATCGGCCACCCAGAGTGTTTGGTTCCTTACTTACATTTGTGAGACATGAAATTAACTAAAGAGCTCCCTCTTCCCTCCTTCAGACCCTCCTCGCTTTCTTAGCAGCTTCCCCAGTCTGCCTCCAGTGAGTCATCATTTTTAACCATTCCACGTAATCCCTACCTCCTTAGGTGATTTTATAGACTCTTAAAGTGGGATGAGATTTTGAGGGCCAAGTTCACCCCTCACCCTTGTCAAGCTCAACCTCACCTGTGATGCGGCAGGACCCTCAGATGCTCAGCTGCCGTCAGGCTCAGAGCCAGTGGCCCAGGCCAGGCCTCCTCCATCCCTGAAGAGGCCTTCCAACAGTTAACAGCATCCATACGTCCCCTGGGCCCTCACCCATTTCTGACCGGACACAGTGTCCAGGATGGGACCACATGGATGCAGGCCTGATTATTACTGGTCCTCCCTCTGGAAATGCAGCAGAAAGATGTGAGCCTCACTCTGAGGTGGCAGGATGTCATCACCCTATGCAAACGGTAGTCTCTGAGGCCAGCTGGTCAGGGCCCCAGCAAGGCAGACAGCAGGGGGGCGCTACTGAAATGGGGGGGGGTGCCACTTTATAGTCCAGGGGCCCCAGGACAGGAGGGCAGCCAAGGCAAGAAAGTGAAAGGAGAATTTCCAACAGGGAAGCTGGAAAGGTAGTTCACCAGTGAATTTGAATTTGGTGGATTCATAGCTTTGGAAGACCTGGTGCCTGTTGGTGCTCATGTCTCCACTGCCAATGTCCTTCCTTCAGCTGGGTAATTTCCTCATTTCTTCTTCTTTTTTTTAAAAAAATATATATTTTATTAATTTTTTACAGAGAGGAAGGGAGAGAGATAGTCAGAAACATCGATGAGAGAGAATCATGGATCAGCTGCCTCTTGTACACCCCCACTGGGGATGTGCCCACAACTAAGGTACATGCCCTTGACCAGAATTGAACCCAGGTCCGAAGGCCGATGCTCTATCCACTGAGCCAAACCAGTTTCGGCTTCCTCATTTATTAATACCCAGCTGTTCAACTGGAAAGCCTTTCCCTATCTCCTCTTGGCCCCCAGCCTGCACAGCGAAGGGGGAATGAATGGGGAGGATGAAGAACTGGAAGGATCCCCATAGGAACTGCTCTGAGGGAAGGAGGCCCTGGCTGAGAAGACAGGGGACCTACTCAGGCTCATCCTGACAGCTGTTTTAAACATGGACTTTTTTGTTGTCTTAATTAAAGGAACTTGGTAGCAGAGTAGATAACTCAGAAGCATGGGTTCCAATCCTGACTCCACCCTTACTGTGTGTCCTTGAACAAGTCCGTCTGCTTCTCTGGGCCTCATTTCCTGTCTGCAAATAGGAACAGTCCCGGCCCTCACCGGGCTTTGGCAATGTTGCCAGGAGCTCTGAGGCTGCCTCGGCCCTCGCACCCAACATGAGAACTTCAGGAACTCAGCTCTGTGCCTGAGCTTTCCTGTCTGAAAATGGGACTAAGAATAGCACCCAGCTGATGGGGCTGTTGGGACTCAGTTGGCACAGGAGATCATTCAGTACAGGTCGGGGACATGAGACACCTCCCCCCCTCCATGGATAGCCATTGTTGTTTACTCTTTCTGGAGATGGATGACCCACTGGTTGAAGTTAACTGCTGACATGATGGAGACATCCTAGGCTCAAGACTTCCCCCTGGAGAGAGTTTGGTGTTTAGACTATGCCGGGTTGAGTGAGGACTGTAGTCATGAAATCCACAGTCCCACAGGATCCAGGTCTCCCGGGTCCCGAGCTTATGCAATTAGGGAGCCATACGAAGAACAATAATACAAAATGATCATGAGACACAGCCCTCGCCTCTCCCAGGGCTTTGCAAGGACTCATGCAGTAGGGCTCCTAAAGCTTGGGGTCCAGAGGCTCCCCTGGTAAATCCATCTTGGCTGTAGTTAATGGCTCCTTGGTAACTAAGTCAGGCCTTGGACCTAAACCCAAGACTTCCACCTGCTGTGGTCGCTGTGAGAACTGGACCCTCCAAGCACGAACACACACCCACTGTGTCTCTTGCCTCCCCTGCAGCTGCCCTGCCTCTCCAGCTACATCAAGTTCAGAGTCTGGGACTGGTGAGCAAGCGGGTGGAGGCTGGCAAACATGCCGGGAGGGGAAGATCGGAGCTGGGCCGGGGGCTCAGCCAGCAGCATGCGTTTCTCTCCAGCCCCAAGGGCAAATTCTGGAGTGAAATTGGGACTGTCAGCCTGATACTCAACCAGATCTCGTCCACCGGAGCAGAAATAGAAGGCAAGCAGCCCCCAGCCCCCCGCCAGTGCCTCTCGCACCTGGCCGCCCTCTCACCCTCTCTTCTTGCAGGAATGTACTCTGGTTTCCTACCCTGCTTTGGCCCCAGCTTTTTGACTCTCCATGGGGGTAAAAAGGCCCCTTTCCAGATCCAAGAAGAAGGCGCTGTAAGCCTCTCATGTCAACTCTAGGGAACAGAGGAGGTAAAACTGACCATGTGTGAGGCACTGGGCCTGGGAATGCCTGGGGAGGATCCGGCCCTGATTTCTGTCCACCACATGCTGGTAGAGAACGTGAAGCCTGTATGTAAATGGTGAATGTGTGGGACGTGTGCCATGGCACAAGAAAGGAACAGGTGGAGGGCATTGAGATGGGATCCTGCGTAAGATTTTCAACAGGTGGAAAGGACCTATGAAACAAAAGAAGCAACAAAGGTAAATGTAGAAAAGCACTGGGGTTATTTAGACCTGGTGACAAACGCCAGAAAACCAAGTCCAATTGACCTACAAGAGGGAATGGGGCTGGAAGGCCTCTGAGTGAGGAAGAGGCAGGCTCCAGAACCTCAATGCCATCAGAAGACTCTCCCGCTCTCTCCAACTCTCATCTCTGCTGTTGTCTAATTCTGGCCTCATTCTTTCCCACTGCAGTCAGGTTTCCATGCTGGTACTGTGTTCCCAGGACTCTAACAGGTCCAGGGAAGCATTCTCATTGGTCTCCTTAGGTCACATGTGCTTTCCTTGGGCCAATAATTGTGGCCAAGGCACAGGACATGCTCTGATTGGCCAGGCAGGTAGAACACACACCAGTTATCATAGTGCCCTTCCAGCAGGAAGCATTTATGGGATCTGCAGGCCAAATGCATGAGGAGGAGGAGCAAGCTGAAGGGTGCAGAAGAGTCAGGGCCTAGAGCAAACATGTCAAACTCATAGCCAGTGGGCTACATACTGCCCATAACGAATATTTTTGTGGCCCAGCCAATATAACGGTACGTAAGAAATGCTTTAATAAAAATTTAATAACTCAATTTTTACAGTATCCTGTTATACATAATTATTAGTAATGAACTACAATGTTTACTAATGACTGATTACTATAACTGTGTTGCATTCATTTCCCTTAATGTACCTTACACATTAATACTAGCAACAAATATTTTAGCAGCCGATGGCCATGTCATTAGTCTTGGACTGACTTGTTTGGTGTGCACAACAGGAAATATTTTGCTTTCAGAGAACAAGAAAAACAGGTTTATTTGCATTACGCTTATTAATTTGTGCAGTTATTCAGTGTCTGGTGAATTAACGTTCAATAAAAAATATTAATTTTTATTATAATGTTCTATGATTTTATGTTAATGATTACTAATTTATTTCAGCATGTCTCTATCAAAATGAACCTACATTTCTATGAAAATTGAAGCTTTTGCTTTTTTCTGGCCCACATACTCTTGTTTATTTGGCCTGTGTTGGCCTCTGAGTTTGACATGCTTGGCCTAGAGGTTTCCGGGACACTGTGTCTGGGTCTGGAATTCCTCCCTGGGGTGAAGTTACTGGACAGTTGTGTCTTTACTGCAGAGGTGTTGCGGGTTTGGCGTGCTCTGTTTCTCTCACCCTCTCTCCCCCCACTTTCCTCTTACCTAGAGTATCCCCAGCTCTGTTAAGGACGGTTTGGAGTATCGAGGCCGGATCTTCCTGGAGTTAGTCACCAACACCAAGTCCCAGCCAGACACTAGGATAAATGACCTCTCCCAGGAAGTGACCAGTGTAGAGGTAACCCAGAAAGAAAGGGGCCCCCTGCCCACCCAGTCAGTGGCCACAAGCTGAATGTGGCCGTGGGTGCATGAGGGTGGTAGTCCATCCACATGAGTCGCTCCTGAGCCGCCAGAGCATCCTGCTGTGCCGAACCCCAGATGGCCAGGGACCTAGTAAAGACGAGATAAGGCTTTGGCTTAAGGACAGTGTCATCTAGTTAAGCAGGAAGACTCTAAAAAGTATTCTAAGAAACTTTAACTTCTTCCCGAAGGCGGGGGAAGGCCAGTGAGGCAGCAAAGTGTTGAGAATAGTCAGGAGGGAGTAAGGTGAGTCACTCACTCACTCAAGAAAAGTGGTACAGTTACAGGGAAGAGAGCTTTACAGGAGAGAGCTGGTTCCAATGGACTCTGAATGATCAGAGCCACCAACTAACAGGACATAAGAAGTGAAACCCATTTCCCTGAGCTGATGCCCATTTTCTGCCTCAGGTGGGAGAGAGAAGTTGCAGATGTTGCATGGAGACAAGTGCATAGCAACTTGGCTGGGAAATGGAGGGAGACAAGATCAGGTGGTAGCTGAGGGGAGAAGGGGGGCTGTGTTGAAGACAGGGAGACCTTAGCTAGGGAACAGACTGGGAATAGGCAAGAGTAGGGCAGAGGTTGGCAACAGAAACAAGGGAGGAGCTAAGATGATAGGAAGAGGCTCCTGAGCAGATGAGAGAAGGGGGCTTGAGAAGGGACAAGAAAGGATGTATACAACTTCTACGGTGCAGCCCTGCCCACACTCAGTCTCATCTGAGAAGAGCATTAGGCTAAAAGGAGAAGAATGGTGTGGTCCAATACGGGTGTAGGTAGGTGGCCAACCACAGCCTCACCTGACCATCAAGAAGACCCTCCTGCTCAGTTTCAGGAAGGGAAGGAGTCAGGATTGGCTGGGTGGGGGAGGGAGCAGGTGATGGAGGTCCTGGAAGGAACTTCCTCCATGACCAGCCAGGGAGTAGGAACTAATGCAAGGCTTTGAGTGGGGGTGGGTTTCAGAGATGGTCTAGCTCAGTGGTGGGCAAACTCATTAGTCAACAGAACCAAATATCAACAGTACAAATTTCTTTTGAGAGCCAAATTTTTTAAACTTAAACTTCTTCTAATGCCACTTCTTCAAAATAGACTCTCCCAGCCAGTGGTATTTTGTGGAAGAGCCACACTCAAGGGGCCAAAGAGCCACATGTGGCTCATGAACTGCAGTTTGCCAACCATGGGTCTAGCTCACCTCATCCTTGCCCCTTCCTGTCTTTATCGCCTTGTTCATCTTGGCTTATGTGCTGGGTGTATGGGGGTTATTGTTTTAGAGGCACATGAACCGCCAAAAGTATGGGCTGTGCATCATCTTCCTTTCCTGTACCATGATGCCCAACTTTAAGGACCTGATCCAATTCGAGGTCAGCATCGGCCACTATGGAAACAAGATGGACCAGAATTACAAGCCTCTCGTCTCAACTACACAGTATAGCCCAGTGATATATGATGGTAATAGTCAAATCCAGCCAAGAGGTGGAGAGCATCCCCCGCATGCCAGGCTCTGTAGCTTGGAAGGGTATTAGTTCATGGAACATTCACAGGCATTGTTAATCCATGTTTCACACATTAGGAAAGTGAGCTTCACGGAGGTGAAATCACCTGCCAAATTGCACAACTACTGAGTGCTGAGCCCACAAGAGTTGAAACCAGGTCATGGCTTCAAGTTCTCCTCCACTACAATTCCCCCAATCCCATCTTCTCCCCCACTACCCTGAACCACCCCCATCCATCCATGCAACTTCCACCCACTGCTCATCTGCCTACCTGCTATCCACCCATTTCTCTTCATCCAATATCTACCTATTGGACACCCATATTGGGCACTAGAGAAACGGTCCTCAAAATGCGGTGTCTAGGCAGCAGCATCAGTATTGCCTGGGAACTGTGAGAAATGCAGATTCTTGGCGCTCCCCTGCTGGCCTGGTGCCTCCCAACTGACCTATCCTGCTGGCCTGATCACCCCTAACTGTCCTATCCTACTGACCTGGTTGCCCACAACTACCCTCCCCTGCCGGCCATCTTGTGGTGGCCATCTTCGACCACATGGGGGCAGCCATCTTGACCACATGGGGGTGGCCGTCTTGTGTGAGGGCGTGATGGTCAATTTGCATATTATCTCTTTATTACATAGAATTATTTGCAAACAGACTGTGACTTTTTTTTTTCAGGTTTATAATTTTATTAGGCAGTAACAGTTAATTTTCATCCACATTAACTGTCTGCAGATTTTTATGCATTCATTGGTTGATTCTTATATGTGCCCTGACCAGGGAATGAACCCACAACCTTCACACATCTGGATGATGCTCTAACCAACTGAGCTACCTGGTGTCTTTTGATGTGCAAACATTTCGTTTGGAAGAAGTTGGTTTATTTTTTATTTTTATTTTATGGTGTCATATCCAATCCAAGAATTGTTTGCCTAACCCAAGGTCATGTAGGTTTCCTCCTCGTTTTTCTAAAAGTTTTACAGTTTTAGTCTTACATTTAGCACGATGATCCATTTAGAATTCCTTTGCATTTTTCCCAGCACCATTTGTTAAAAAGATCTCCTTCTCCCAATGTTCTATTGTTTAGGTTTTCTACTCAGGGGCCCCGTTTGGGAGCCACAGCTCTTGGTTTCCTGTATCTGTCCTTTTCTCCCCAGTCCTTCTGGATGCTTTCATTTCCTTCGGCCACTTTTCTTGTTTCTATGTTTCTGACTGTATTATCTGAAGGCCTACTCTCCCCGGGGCTGCTTTTTCTTCTCTGCTTCCTTTCTGGGATGCTTCTGTTTTCCTTTTACTTGTTTTCTGAGTTTTGCTGGCTCCCATTTCCTCGTCCGACTCCCCAGTTCCTTCTGGGAGTGTGTTTTTGCTGGCACTTTCTGCTCTCTGCTCCATCAGGCTGGGCTCCCTGCTGTCTGTCTGGGTCCTCAGGTCTCTGCAGGTGACTCCTGCTGCCCCTCACCCCTGGGGCTCCTAGGGCAATCACAGTTGCTTTTGGCAGTCCTCGGGTGTATTTTGAGTCTGAAGATTATATCTCTCTCCTTGTTTTGCTGAAAATGGAGTTATTTTCCTTCATCTTGTTGCTTTTGTACGCCATCCAAGAGTAGAAGAAGAAAATTGCTGTTTTGTGTCCCCGTGCTCCTATCTGAAAACCCAGCCTGGGATCTCTGCTCAGTTATCGTCCTAATCATTCCCTCAGTGCCAGGTCTGAAGCTGGTGCCTTCCAACAATTCTGAAAAATTACACGATACTTTTCTTTGAAAATTACCCGCCACCACCACCATGTCTCTTGTATCTCGTTCTCAAATTCACTCTACCATCTGTGGACGTTCTCACTTTATTCTTCGTATTTTTAATCTCTCTTCCATATTTGTCAAACCTCTGGGCTGCATTCCAGATCATTTCTTCTAGGGCTTCTAGCAAAGGCTGCAGGTGGCCGTGTGACTGACCACTTTTTGGCAGCAACTTCCTCCTGTCCCCTCCTCTTCCACGTAGCGTTCTCCACCGTTCGGCACACTGCATTTTATGTATTTATTTTGTCTTCTTTGCCCCACTGTTTTTTAAATTCTTAAGTAAACTTGGTGTGTGAGTCTAACATGCCTATGGAAAAGTACACACACCGGCGTGTCCAGCTCAGCAAAGCAGACAGACCTCTGTCCCGACACCCCAGAGGCCCCTGGATCCCTCAACCCCAAGGGCAGTTGCTAGCCTAGCCTCCAACTCGTTTTGTCTGGTTTTTAACTTTATATCAAAGAAATCATACAGTATGTATTCTCATGTGTCTGGCACCTTTGGCCCATTATTTTGTTTGTGAAATGCATTCACAGACCCAGATGTTGCTGGGAGTAGTCACAGCTCATTCTCGTTGCTGTGTAGTGTTCCATTGTGCAAACAGACTATCATTATTTTTTATATTTTATTGATCTTTTTACAGAGAGGAAGGGAAAGAGATAGTTAGAAACATCAATGAGAGAGAAGTATCATGAGAGAGAAACATTGACCAGCTGCCTCCTGCACACCCCTTACTGGGAATGTGCCCACAACCAAGGCATGTGCCCTTGACCAGAATCGAACCTGGGACTCTTCAGTCCACAGGCCAACGCTCTATCCACTAAGCCAGTGGTAGGCAAACTGCAGCTCGAAAGCCACATACGGCTCTTTGGCCCCTTGAGTTTTTAGCAAAGCTCAGCTTAGGAGCACCCTAATTATGTTAATAACAATATACCTACCTATATAGTTTAAGTTTAAAAAATTTTGGCTCTCAAAAGAAATTTCAATCATTGTACTGTTGATAGTTGGCTCTGTGGACTGATGAGTTTGCCGACCACTGGGTTAGGGCTATACCGTCGTTTATTTGTCCTCCTACTTCAGAGGGAGGTTTCCGTGGTTCCCAATTCGGGGCTCTGACGAACGGAGGGTGATAATGCTGTGTGTGCCTTGCGGCTGGGTGTACACCACGGAGCAAACTGCTGGGTTAGAGAGCGTGCACCGGTTCTAGGCTGCTCATTTTCTTGGACCTTTACGTGTGGAATGCTTTGGGATTTGGCTAAAGCTCCATGCCCCAGAGAGGGTCTATCTTTTTTTCCTCTGGTAACTTGGGGCGCTGCCAACCAGAGAGCACTTTAAATTTTCCGCAGACCTTACAGGTGGTCTGAACGCAGAATGCAACCTGCATGAGGGCCCGCCTGTGGTAACAAACTTGGGGGAAATTTCCTGTCCCCTTGCCCCAGGGCCATGCTGGAGGCAGGCATGTCTCCTCACCCTGTTCTTCTGTGCGGTGGGTTACTTCTCATCGACTGAGGGTTTAGGTTCTGAGGTGCCAGCTCTGCATGGCGTATTGCTTTGCCGGGGCTGCCATGGCCAGGCACCAGACTGGGTGGCTGATAGCATCCTCCTGGAAGCTAGGCATCTGAAACCAAGGTGTCGGCAGGAGCAGCTCCTTCCGGTGGGTCTGAGGGGCAGGCTCCAGGCCCGCTCCCAGCCTCTGGGGGCTGCCTGCATGTTGGGTGTGCCTTGGCGTGTAGACACAGCACTCCATCTCTGCCTCTGTCTCCCTCTGTCTCTGTGTCTTCACAAGACCACCATCTCCTGTCTCTCCTCTTATAAACACACCAGTCATATTGGGTTAAGGACTCAGCCCGCTGCAGTATGACCTCATCTTAACTAATCACAGCTGCAATGAATGACCCTATTTCCAAATAAGGCCGCATTCTGAGGTACTGGTGGTTAGGATTTCACTTCTACTCATACCACAGAGTCTCCTGCTAGACTGCCCACCATGGCAGCGCTACGCTTTCTCTCCTGACCCTGACCCCGGGCCGTGGCCAAAAAGAAGTACAAGGTCTCCGTGATTGGCCAGAAACTCAGAGGACAGGAGCCAGCTTGCTTCCACTTGCCTCTGACATTCTGTTTTATTTTTGGCTTCTGTGGTTTTCTTCCTTTTGCGTCAACACAACAACACACCTCAGAAAAAGATCCTTAGCGTTTCATCTAAGTTCCTCCCCTCATTTCAATAAAAAACATCGCCAGGAACCCGCTCATCGTGGGTTTAACCCATGCTTGCCCCGCCCCCTCCTGCACACCGGCAGGACCTTTATGTCAGATGTCTGCCCACCCCAGCCAAACCCTGCGTCCCCTCCGGAGCCCAGGCCCACTCCTCCCGGCCTTGCGGGCCACCCGACCAGGCATGCCTCTTGCCTCAATATCTCACTTGAAGTCAGGGCATGGGTCTGCGCAGCTAGATGTTTGCGTTATGGCCGCCTGGCGGTGCCATTTCAGGCAAACTACTCCCCGCCATAGCCTGGCTGTCCCACCCGCACATGGGGGCTCGGAAAGGCTGCCTGACACCCCAGCAGGATGAGTGCTCCATCGGGCGGCCCACCCTCTGGTGGGAGGGCTCCAGCCAGCCTTCTTAGCAGATGGCACCCTGGGGAGTGACAGCTCAGTGAAGGTGCTCTGAGGGACACACTGAGGAGACCGCCCGGAGACACTCAGACCCCGCCATCCCATCTTTGTGTCTCAGGGAACGTCTACAATTACGTGCCCTGGTACAACACCAAACCGGTGGTGGCCCTCACCTCCTACTGGGAGGGCGTCAGCTTCCGCGTGGACTGCCTCAACCTCCTGCACTTCACTCGGGACCGCCTGGTGAGTGGGGCCGGCTGGGTGGGTGGGTGGGGGCGGGGGACCTGTCACAGAGGGAGATTTGGGATAAGGAGTCTCAGGCAGAGGGAACCGGTCTCTTGGCTCACGTATGCCCTCCACATCGAGTGAGATGGAAGTGCCTGGCACAGGCTGGGCTCTGAAGACACCAAAATGAGTCAGCACCGCCGCTGGCGCTGGCCTCGGCCTCGGGGAAGTCAGAGGCGCCGGGTCCTCCGCCCGCAGTCACCGGCCACGGGGCAGAGACTGGGGGGAGGGGATGAAAAGCAGATAGTGGAGGTGTTCCAAATGGAGTGACACTTGAGCAGAGCCCTCAAGAATGAGGAGTTTGCTGGTGGCGTCGGGCTTTAGAGAAGAGAACAATGTGGAAGCCACGGAGGCGTGAAGGTCAAGGGCGGTGGGGGCATGGAGGTGGGTGCAAATAAGGCCAGGAAGCTGGGAGAGGTCAGAGACAGAAGGTCTTAGGTGTCTGTTAAGAAAGGAAACCACTGCAGTGTTGGACAGGAGAGCCACGAGGTGCCTCCACTCCGATAGGACCTCCTCACACACGCAAAGGGAAGCCCACATCGGATCTGTGCCCTCCTCGGTCCGCCTGTCCTGGCCCCTTCCTGCTCCCCTTCTCCTGCGGGGTCCTGGGAAGGGTGTGTGGGATCCTCGCCCGCGAGGGCCCGGGACAGCCGTGGACCGGCATCCCCAGGCTGCCCTCACAGGTTCCCAAGTCTTCACTGAAAATGCCGGGCGAGGCAGCCCTGTAGCGGCCTGGGTGCCCATGCCACCTGCTCTCTGTCTCCTCCTGGGCAGAAAGCCAACCTGGACACCCTGAAATCCATTCGGAACCCGAGGGACCCCGCCCTGCTCTCCCAGTGGAGGAAGCTGCTGAGGGAGCTGGTGGAGGACTGCAAGTAGGAGCTGGGGCCTCCTCTGAGTCGGGGCTCCCGACGGCGCCCTCCTCGGGTCTCTCCCTGGCTTGAGGCCCAAACCACAGAGCAGCTCCTCCTCTCCCATCAGGCCTCGCAGAAAATGGCCCTCACCGTCCCCATCTCCCCCGACCCCCCACCCTGAGCACTGTCCCTGCTCCCCCCACTCTGCATCTCGTGCCCCCACCAAACCAAGCCTCTCAGTGTCTCCAGAAAAACCTGGCCCGGCCCACCCTTTCCCCTGCTGCTCCTCTCCACGAGGCCTTCTCCAGGGCTCTAACTGTTCCGGAAGATTCCTTGTGAGGCCTCTGCCTGCCCCGCACCCCATTTGGAACCCCACTGCCACACCTCGGGGTTTGGTTGCCTCACACCCTCTCCAGGAGGTGTGAGCATGGGCCTGGCTCACTGCAGGGACTGGGGACGGGGGAGTGAGAAACGAGGTGGGGGTGGGGGTGGGGGGCCAGGCCTGGGTGAGGGTGGGACGGGCTCCCTGCGGCAGGCCAGTGGGGGCTGGGCAGGATCACGAGTCCAGGAGGGCACCTGGCCTCAGACGGCCCGAGGCCATGAACGGCCCAGCCCTCTCCTTCCCGGTCCTGGCCGCAGGCACCCTCTGCCCTGCATGATCGACCAGCCCAACGCCACTGAGCTGGACAGGGAGAGGTGGCAGCTCCGTTGCCACCTGCTCAAGGAACTGGCCCAAAAGGCCAAGGAAGTTCAGCCGAGGGACATGGTGGCCACCGTGGAGGGCTGGCTATACCGCCTCAACGCCGTGCTCCCCGAGGTGGGCGCGGGACCCCGCGGGAGCAGGCGGAGCCTGCGGGGGCCGGCGGGGGCCGGCGGGGGCCGGCGGGGCCGGCGGGGGCCTGACTCCCGCCCCCGCAGCCCCAGGTGAGCATCCCGGACGTGATGATCTGGCTGATGGCCAAGGAGCAGAGAGTGGCCTACGCACTGGTGCCGGCCCACGCCGTCCTGTTCTCCCCGACGGGGCCTCTGCACTGCGGCAAGCTCTGCGGGAAGATACAGACCCTGCTCCTGCAGGTGCCCACGGGGGAGTCCTGGGGGGTGGGGGCGCAGAAACACCCCGGGAGACCCCTGAGCTCCGGGGGCTCCCATGAGCCTCCCTGAGGCCGGCCCGCCTGCTCCCAGGCCTTTTACCAGGCGAATGGGGCAGGAGTCTCCAGAGGAAGGAAAGCCCATAAGCATGAGGCCAATGCCCAGTCCGTGATCCTAACAATGTCCCCAGATTGCTGCCTCCGCCATCTTCACACCACACGTAGTTCGTCCTGTTCTCTCCCCGGGACCACAGTGGGGTGCAGTTCAACACATTTAGTGACTGTGAGGTTTGGGCCCATCACACCACACATAAGCCGTAAATAAGGGTCCCACCCCACCACAGCCCCAGCCCCACAGGCAGGTGGGGACTCACTTGGCTTCCCCTGGGTCCTAAAGAGGCTCAGCCTCCCTGGCCTGACCCAGTCACCTCTCCTCCTCCGCCCTCGGGCCCTCCCCTCACAGTCAGGCCATGCTGGGCTCCCCCACACCGCTGCCCTCTGCCCTCCTGCCATCTGGAGGCCCCTCTGTGCCCGCTGAGGCCTTCTCATCCTGCAAGAAGCACTGACACAATCCCTGGCTGTACCACTTGCTGGATTGTATGTCCTCGGCCACTCCCGGCCGTGCCCAGCCTGACTGTTCCTCTGTAGAATGGGCTGGTGGTGTGTGAGGGTCAGAGCACGCTGAGCACCGCGCCAGCACATGGCGAGAACGCAGTCAGTGATCGCTAGGACCACTGTCAATGTCACTACCATCCCTGCCCCTCCCCGGGCGGCACTGCCCCTCTCCCCTCAGCCCCAACTAGCGAGGGGTCACACGTACAACCATCGCTAGCTCAGCTCCGTGGGAGGCCCTGCTCCCGGGGCTCAGGGTGAAGGAGCAGGCGTGTGTGCCCCTCCCTCACCTGCCCCCCGCCCTCGGGGGCCACACCCGTGGGCTTGACCTGCCCCTGCCTCAGTACCCAGAGGGCGAAGGGCCGAAGGACTCGCTCCCGGCCCATCTCCGGGTCTGCATGTGGCTGGGCGACGTCACAGACAGCTGGGACCTGCAGCTGCTCCGAGAGGGCGAGGTGGTCGTGTACGCGGAGACGGTGAGCGGGGGGACGGGGGCCAGGCCGGGGGTCCCAGGGAGGGCCGGGCACTGTCAGAGGGAAGGAAACGGCGCCTTCACACAGGGCAGTGAGCCAGGGAGTGGGTGAGCAGGGCTCAGGCTGACCTGTGAGAGCGGAAGGGAAGTGGGTTTGTTTCCGACTTTGTAATTTACTGAATTAAACATGTCATGGTTCCTAGGTTGTGTGTGGCGGGTGGATATATAAGCCCCGTAACCAGCTCCTTTGCAGGGCTTGGGGAGGCTGAGATGGGGACCCCGGAGGAAGTGCAGAAACCGCACACGCAGCAGGGGAACCCGGAAGCCAGGCCCAGAGTTTGCAAAGAGGAGGCAAATAGTGGAGCAGGAGGGGCCTGGGGTCAGCAGTGACCAGCAGACGGGCCCCACTGCAGGCGCCACCAGGCTCTATGCTGCCCCACTGTGCGCGGGGAGGCAGCAGATACTGACGGCCTGCCTCCGCTCCATCCCCAGTATGAGAACCAGGCCAAGTACAAAGACCAGTGGGGGCAGCAGGGGCTGTACCAGTCCCCCAACTTCTCCGACGTCCTGGGCCACAAGGCCCTCCCCAAGGAGGACTTCAAGGAGCCCTCGGGATGGCACTGGGCGGGGAAGTGGACGGTGGAGCCGCAGAGGAGGTACGTCTGGGGTGCAGGGCCGGGAGCCTGTGTGCCTGCCACGCACCCCGAAGCCAACACCTCTTCCTCCCGGAGGCCAGCAACAGCAGCCTAGACAGGCGGGCACACGGCCACGGAGCCCAGCCCTAGGGTGGGGGTGCCCAGGCAGAAGCCCTGCCCGCCACGCTGCCCTGCGTGCCAGCCCACTGCCCAGCCCTGCCAGAGCAGGCGGGGCTCGCAAGGAGGGGGCGCTCGGCCAGCACAGGAGGGCCCCAGGGGCCTGGAAGTTTGGGGATTCGTGTTGGGAACTCGAGGTGTCGCTGCCCCCAGACTCCTCCTGGACACAGACATCAACAAGAGCCAGGTGCTGGAGGAGGTGTATGAGAACCAGCAGCGGGACCCCGCGGGGGCCTGGGTGCCGGCCGCCACCCCCAACACCGACGTGGTGAGCAGGGCGGAGGCACGCGGGGCGCGGGCAGGCGGCCCGATGGCCACCTCGGGGGCTGGCTGTCCAGTGGAGAGAGCACTAGCCCAGGGGCTGCTGTCTGAGCCTGGCCCCTCTGTGTGGCCCCTGGGCTAGCACTGATGATGGCTCCACTGAGACGGCTCCTCCGAGGAGGAGAGTCGGGGGCTAGGCCGGTCTAAGCAGAAGTTGCTGTCAGGCAGAACTTGCTGTGACGATGGGAACCGTCTATATCTGCGCTGCCCACATGTGGCTATTGAGGACTAAAAACGTGGCGTTGTGAGGGGGGCGAACTGCACTGAGTTTTTTGTTTGTTTTAAAATATATTTTATTGATTTTTTTACAGAGAGGAAGGGAAAGGGAGAGCTAGAAACATTGATGAGAGAGAAACATCGATCAGCTGCCTCCTTCATAGCCCCACTGGGGATGTGCCCGCAACCAAGGTACATGCCCTTGACAGGACTTGAACCTGGGACCCTTCAGTCTGCAGGCCGACGCTCTATCCACTGAGCCAAACCGGCTAGGGCTGCACTGAGTTTTGTTTCATTTGATTGATTTCGATGTAAGCGGCCCCGAGAGGCCAGTGACTGCTGCAGGGACATGGGGTCACCCCTCACGCTGGGCTCCCCGGCAGGCGGCCGCTGGGCCGGGCAGGCGGCCACACTCAGGTTCGCTTTGGGTCATTGCCATGGTTATTTCCTATTTATGGGGAGTGATGCTGACTTTCCACTGAGCGTGGAAATAGTTTCCCTTTAAAAATTATTTATTTATAGTTTGAAAAGGCGAGTCGGTAAAGGCATATTCAGTGACTGTGAGCGGCATTAGACGTAGCAAGTGCCGTCTGCTCCCGGCGGGCGGATGGGTGAAGGCAGCCCCCAGCACACCCTCAGCCGCCCGCCTCTCCCTGCCCGCAGGACGGGAAGCCCGTGGAGGCGCGGGAGAATGTGAAGTGCCCCCAGGGCTGGCACGTGAAGAAGAACTGGACGGTGGAGCTGAACCACGCGGTGGACGATGAGGGTCTGTGCTCTGCTCACGGCTGCAGGCGGGGGCCTGGAGCTGCCGGGGTCCGACACCGCCCAGGGCCTGAGAACAGCCACGCTCCCGGGTGGGGTGGGCCTGCATCCCTGGGGTCCCCCAGCCTCCGCAGAGCAGGGCCTGACCCCTCCCACGGACCTGGGCCCAGTGCTGAGGCAGGGCGGGCTGCGAGCCTCTCAGGCCTGAGCAAGGACCTGGCTCTGAAGTGGGGTTCCCCAGGGGCTGCAGGGAGGTGCCCTCAGCAGGAAGTCTGAAGACCTGGGCTCTAGACCAGTGTTTTTCAACCTTTTTTGGGCAAAGGCACACTTGTTTCATGAAAAAAATCACGAGGCACACCACCATTAGAAAATGTTAAAAAATTTAACTCTGTGCCTATATAGACTATATATAAAGTAATTCTCTTGAATAGGAATCAAATAAACACAAAGAAAGTATTTTATAATTACTTTATTATGAAATATTAAGTAAACAAAATAGTGAAAAATTATAAAATTCTTGTCTTGTCTGCACCTACGGCACACCAGGCAACACCTCTAGTTGCCGCGGAACAGCGGTTGAAAAACACTGCTCTAGACACACACCCTGCTACTTATGAGCGTTGGGACCTTGTATGGGTCACATGACATGTGAGCCTCAGCTTCCTCATCTGTGAGATGGGCAGCTGGGCCCAGGCCACCGTGGTGACACAGTGTGACCGCCCCTTCCCGGGCCAGAGAGACCTGCCCCCTGGGGCCCATCTCTCAGGCTCCTCCACGCCCCCAGCCGTGGGCCCCGGCACCCACGCCACGGCCCCGCCCGCAGGCTGGGAGTACGGCGTGGGCATCCAGCCCTCCGGCCTGCCTCCGGTCTGGAACTCGGTGGAGAAGACCTACTACTCCTGCCGCCGGCGGCGCTGGGCGCGCGTGCGCTGCCGGAACCATGGGAAGCTGAGCCCGGAGCAGGAGGCCCTGTCCTTCCTGCAGCTGGTGAGGCCGCCTGGGCGGGAGCGTGGCAGGACCGCTGGCAGGGTCCACCCCAGCCCTGGCAGGAGGCTGTCCCTGCTGTCCTCCCTGCAGGACCACGCCGGCCCAGCCCAGGAGGAGGAGGAGGGCTGGGAATACGGCACCCTGGGCTCCAAGTTCAACCTGAACCCTCAGCCCCAGAGCCGGTTCCGCCGCCGCCGCTGGCACCGCAGGCTGGCCCCCAACAAGGACAAGGGCATCGCACCCGTGTTCCTCCTGGAGGGATCCCTGGTAAAGCTCAGAGGGCCGGCAGCTCCTCCCAGCACCCGCCCCTGGAGCCCGGGCACTGACGGCTGAAGGGTGGGAGTCTGCGTGCTGGACCCACACTGTCAGGCGTTGGAGGGTGGAGCCCAGAAGGGCAATAGGGGGGCCTGGGCATGGGCACCCAAGAGCCTCAGGGAGACTGTGGTGGCAGGGGAAGGACCTGAAAAGGCTGGCCGAGAAGGAAGAGAACAGGCCGCCGTCACGGGGTCTCGGCAGGACGCTCAGGGGGAGCTCCTGGAAGCCCGCCCCGGAGAACACCCCGCCCCACCTGCCTTTCATCTACTGCGTCTTCAGCAGTGAGCCCTCTGCGAGGCCGCGTCTGAGGGCGGGAGCGGGGCCTGGGGGAGTCCTGGGGCAGGTGACAGACTCCACTCGCCTCTTCCCCAGAGCCCCACTACTACCAGCTTTTCTGCTACATCTACCAGGCCCGGAACCTGCTGGGCAACCGGATCCAGACGTTCCAGGGTAGGTGGCGGCACCTGTTCGCCCCCAGCTCCCAGAGCCCATGGTGTGCCCTCATAGTATAAAAAATACGGCAAAGGAAGAGGGTGCCGGGTATGCAGACCACCCCCACTCCCGGCAGCTCATGGCCCTGGTTGGGAGTAAAGTCACGAAAACAAGGCAAGGCCGTTCTGAGGGGCCCCCAGTGCTGGGCAATTAGGAGGCGGAGTTGGGGAGGCATCACCTCAGGGACCACTTAGCTGGCCTCGAACAGGGAGGCGTGCATGAGAGCAAGAGGGAGTGGCCATTTGGAAAACAACCACATCCCTGTGCTGACAGAGGAAGGGCAGGGAGGAGGGGTGGCGGTTGCTGGTCCTGTGGGGAGGACCCAAGGAAGGTTCCAGGTGGTCAGTGCTCCGCCCTGTCCTGCTGCTGGAGGAGGGGCTGAGCCGGGCAGTGCCCATTGGGCATCAGCACCTGCGTGGAGAGGGCTATTTGATTTCTCCGACGCCAAGGCCACTTGCTGATGCTGTGAAAAGGCAGCCCGTGTAGCCTGGTCCTCAGAACTCCGGAGGAGCCACTGGCCCCCTCCTCTGCCACCCAGGCCCAGCCATGGCAGGGTAAAACATGTGGGTGGGACCAATGACCCTTGGCCTTGCTTATGCCCCTTTGCTCTGTGGCTTACACGGAGGTGGCTTCGGCACAGCGGGCAGAGGTGGGGCCCTGACAGGTGGCCCGGTGCCGGCCGGAGAGGAGCTTCACTCAGCTCAACAGTGAGGGCGCCCCCTCCTCCACCCTCCAGACCCCTTCCTCCGGTTGGTCTTCTTGAACCACAGCCAGTGCACCCAAACCCTGAGGAGCTCTGCAGCCCCCACGTGGGCCCAGACGCTCATCTTCCAGCACCTCCTCCTGTACGAGAGCCCTCAGGACACCAGGGAGAGCCCGCCGCTCGTGGTGCTGGAGCTGTGGCAGCGGGACTCCCGGGTACGCGGGCTGGGCTGGGCTGGGCAGAGGGGGACGCGCTCCAATGGGCCTGGCTCGCAGGGCATGGTGTACACATATCTGTCAGCCCTTTCCCTCCGCTCTTGGGGACCTCAGGGGGAGGAGCCAGGAGCCAGAACCCGCTAGCTTGGCACCTGTTCTGCAATTTCCCTCCCTGTCTAGGGCAAGGAGAGCTTCCGGGGACGGAGCATGTGGCCCCCAGTGGTCTGGCTGGATGTCCAACATCGGGTCTTGCCCCCCATGAGGTGGCATCCCCTTGCAAAAGAGTTGGGGGAGGAAGAGGGAGAGATCTTGGCATCCTGTGAGCTGATCCTTGAGACTGAGGTACTGGGAGAGAGGGCCCTGCTGGGAGGTGAGGTACTCAGTGCCCCAGTTTGCCCCATGCCCCTGCGACATGTTCCCACAGACAGTGGTCCCTGACTCGGGGCCTGGGGAACCCAGCCAGCCTGCCCCGCTAACCTAGCTCTCCAGCCAGCGTCTGCCCATGGGCTCGGGGGTCGCCTCAGTTGAGCTCTTAGGGACCTGCTGGAGTTGCGGATGGAGATCGGTAGGACCAGCCCAGTGGGGCCTCGTGCTCCCACCTCATCCCTTCAGAGTCTCAGAAGGAAGCTGCCGATCTTAAGCGTTCCCTGGAAGAACGGGGTCTTCACACTCCCCAAGAGCATGCAGCCCACGCTAAGGAAAATGGCGGTGGAGGTGATGCTGGTTGGGGTGGGGAGGCTGGGAGGGGGGCAGGGAACGGGGAGCTATCTGCTGGCCCTCCTGGGGTGGTCCTGACCCCCTGATCCAAAGCTGGGATGGAGATGAGAGAATGAAGAGCAGAAGCTCTGAGAGGACATGTTCAATTATTTTATTGCACAGTTGCTGCAGGGAGTAGACAGGGACTCACTCCCCATGGGGCATCTGAGCCCGTGCTGCCCTGGGGCAGGGCTGCTCTCAGAAGGAAATGGGGCTTTGAGACGGTGACATGAGCCCATGGCAGACCAGCATTGGGCCAGGCCCTGACTCCAAGGCCAGATGAGTCTCCTTTGAGAGTAGCATGGAAATCCCCAAGTGGGAACCTATGCACCCGCCACAACCTGGCAAAGAGCAAAAGATGGTCAGGCCTGCGGGCACTGGGTTCTTCCCCAGGTGAGGCCCAGGCTGGTCCTGAAGGTCTGACCAGGAGGGGCATGGACATCCCCTGGGTGCTCAGTGTCTGCCAGTCAAGAGCAATCACAGGGTGTGGGCCACTGAAAGGCATAGCGCTCTATGGAAGACAGGTCAGCAATGAGCTAGCTGACATTAGGGAACCTGAGAAATCTGGGCACCCATGCTTGCGGGGGCCTTTGAGGTAGCCCGCCTCAGGAACTTCCTCAGAGGACTGATGGGGGGCCAGCCAGGGCAGCCGGTGAGGAAGGACAATGCCTAAGGGCAGTGGACAGTCACAGTGGCCAGAGGGCACCTCCCCCAGGAGGGAGGAGTATCCAGGCCGAGGACAAGCACTGAGCCCCGGGCCCCCTGATGCGCCGTCACTGCCAGCATAGGAGCCCTCACAGAGGCGCGGTCGCCGCTCCCTCTGGCAGATCCTGGTCTGGGGGCTCCGGAACATGAAGCAGGTGAGCTCCCCCCAGCTGCTGGTGGAGTGCTGGGAGGAGACCCGGCAGACAGAGCCCATCAGGGACTTCAAGACCAACCCCAACTTCGCCCAGTCGGTCCTCTTCCTCACGCTGGTAAGAAGGCCCCGGCAAGGGCCGGGCGGCCCACTCCTCCAGCGCGGCCTCACGGGCCTCTCTGGGCTGCAGTTCATGCCCACGGAGGAGGCCTACGCGCTGCCCCTCGTGTTGAAGGTGGTGGACAATAAGGACTTCGGCCAGCAGACCCTGGTGGGTCAGGCCAACGTTGACTCCCTGCAGCCCTACTTCTGTGACCCCTGGGCTTCAGACTACGTGCCCCCACGGCTTCCAAGTACGTCCTTACTCGGCCCTCCCAGGCCTCCCCAATAAGCAGACTGAGGGAGGGACAGGGCCCTCCCCCCACTCCTGAGATGCACGGCGTTTCCTCCACAGAGCTGTCCGTGAACAAGCACCAGGTAAGTGAGGGGCTCGAGGCCCACCTCCCCCCACACCACTTCCAGGACCCAGCTCTTATCCCTGAGGGCTCTGCTCCCTGCGCACGGTGAGGCTAACTGTACACAAGAATTCTAAAGCAGTGAGTCTCACCTGGGCTGCATATTCTAATTGCCCGTGAGTTTTAAAAAATTCTGAGCTGCATATTCTAATTGCCCGTGAGTTTTAAAAAATTCTGAGCCAGGCCACTGACCAACTCCACCAGAATTGCTGGGGGCAGGGCATAGGGTCAGCATTTTTGTCAAGACTCCCCTTTCCCCTCCAGCCCCCGCACCCAGTGATTACAATGTTCTCGGGGCTCAGAACCACTGCTCTAGAGCAGCGCTTGTCACCTGAACGCACAGGAATCCTCGGGGCCTCTGGCACAAAAGCAGACTGAGGCAGTAGCGGTGCGGTGGGCGCTGAGGCCTGCTGTCTGAGCCCTTCAAATCCAGTCTGAAGCTGTGGGCAATGAGAACAGGACTGGCCACACCCCCTCCTTGTCCCAACCCCACGTCTGACGACCTCAGAACGAAAGACCTGTGTGAGGTCAGCCCTGACCTCCACCCACTCCTCTCAGGAGGCAGGTGGTGGGTGGGCTGTGGGATGCCCGTCTGCCTGACTCACCCCTCTCCTTTCACAGTTCCTAGATGACCTTGTTGAAAAGTTCTGGTTCAAGTCCAGCAAAGCTGAGGTGATGCGGGCTCAGCCTAGGGGAACAGGAGCAATCCCAGGTAGCTTGGGAGGCGGGGAACACAAGCCTGGGCAGAGGAAGGCCAGCCGCCCCTCTTCCTCAGGATGAAGACGAGTATGACGTGGACTGGTGGAGCAAGCTGTTCTGGGCCACGGGGGACGGCAAGTCCCTGAAGTACAAGGACAAAGACTACCACACCCTGGAGGTCTGGAAGCCCCGGGAGGGAGACTGCTGAGGTGGAATAAGCCTGCTGGGCAGCCAGCAGACCCAGCCCTGATTCCTCCGGGACCACGGTGTGGGGGGGTTTCCTCATGCCACCACTCTAGGCCACACTCTACCAGCCTCACCCATTCAGGGACCAAGGCTGCCCTGGGACCCGACTGGGCAGACGCTTGGGGACAAGACCGGCAGCTGGTGGTCCCTCACCCCCGATCCCAGGAAAGGCCCTCTGGTCCAGCCCAGGCCTGCTCCCCAGCAGCCCAGGTCCCTCGCACCCTCCCACAGGTGTACGACTGTGAACTGGAGGCTGTGCCAGCCTTCCAGGGCCTGCAGGATTTCTGCCAGACCTTCAAACTCTACCAGGAACAGCCCAAGTCAGACAGCCCTGTGGTCGGAGAGTTCAAGGTGGGTGTCCAGCCGGCTCAGCTGCCCCTTCTCCTCACGCCCGTCGGTCCCAGCAGACTAACAAAAGCTCTCTGCAGGATGGGGCAGGGAGGGCTTGAAAAACCATTTCGGAAGCAGAGACTGACCCGTGCAGGGTTCAGAGTGGCATCCCCTTAACACAGGAAGGGTAAGGGCTGTCTCATCCCAGCTCTGGCCTGTGCACTTCCCCAAGCCCAGGAGCTCAGACCTGAAGGGGTAGGGCTGAGATGGGAGTTCCCATCAGCAGACTGGCGAGCACAATCCCTTTGCCCAGTGCCTCCTAAACACAAGTAGTCCCTGCACAGCACCTCTGCTGTGCCCGTCTCCACCCGACCACGTGACCCCTGTCCCTGCCACCCTCACATGCTCACTCTCCTGGGCTTGGCCAGGGCCTCTTAGAGGGTTCTATAGAGCCAGCTGCCAACACTAACCTCCCAAAATACACACAGGGCCTTTTCCGTGTCTACCCCTTTCCCGAGAATCCAAAAGCCCCCCAACCCCCCCGCCAGTTCTTGGTTTGGCCTCATAAAGAAGACTTCCCTCAGCAATGCCTGGTGCGGGTGTACGTGGTACGAGCCATCAACCTGCAGCCCCAAGACTACAACGGCCTGGTAAGGAGCGGCCCAAACCTGCCATGCCCATCTTCCAGGGCCCCGCCCAGCCCTGCCACCTTCCACACCCGCCTACACCCCATGTCCTAGAGCTCCCTCAGGCTCCTACCACCCAGACTGCCACCTCGCCACAAGCTCTGTCTGTGCAAGGGGCTCATTTCTGCCCCACTCCTGCCCTCCCTGGCCTGACTCTCCATTTCCTGTCCTTCCCTCGCCTGTGCCTAACCCCAGTGTGACCCTTATGTGATCCTGAAGCTGGGACAGACAAAACTTGGCAGCCGAGACACGTACCAGCCCAACACCCTGAATCCCATCTTTGGCACGTGAGCTGCCCCAACTTGCCCAACCCCACTCCTCCACCCATCCACGCAGCTCCGGGAGAAAGCCAGACTAAAGAGCCTGCACTCCCCTCCAGCCACCCAACTCCTCCACGGAGCCTTAGCACCAGAGGTGCTCACCATGGGCCCAGTCTATCCTCCCTCTCACAGCTTGGGAAGGGAGCCAAGTCCCACACCCAGGCCCATCAACGCCCGTTTCCTGCCATACTTGGCGATGGTTATTAGCAGACAACAGCCATCCAGGCTCTGTGCTGCACGGTCACAGGACCAAACCAGGGGCAGAGGTGCTAGAGGGGAAGCATGTAGGTAACATGGGCGCAGTCTCTGCTGTCTCCAACACCACCCACCAGGATGTTTGAACTGAGCTGCACCATCCCCCTGGAGAAGGACCTAGAGATTGAGCTGTATGACTTTGACCTGTTTTCACCTGACGATAAGATTGGCACCACAGTCATCGACCTCGAAAACCGACTCCTGTCTGGCTTCGGGGCTCGCTGTGGGCTCTCCCAGTCATACTGCCAGTAAGAGCGGGCCTGGCCACAGGCCAGGGCCTGGAGAAGGGTGGAGGAGGGAGCCCACAGCCGGGAGCCAGGGCCTGAACCTGTCTCTCCCGGCCCCCACTACTGGTCTCCTGCAGCCGAAAGCTCTCCAGGCCCCACACCTCTTCCTCCCACACACGCCCACAGGACAGGACCCTTTAGGTGGCGGGATCAGGTGCCCCCAAGCTTCCTCCTGGAACACCACGCCATACGGAAAGGATTGCTTCCTCCTCTGTTCAACCCTGACGGCGACTCTGTTTTTTACAATGGGAAAAAGTTCAAGCTGAAGCGCTTCGGTGAGTCCTGCACGCAGCCAGGAAGCACAGGCCCAGGCCTCAGAGACTGGGATGGAAGAGCTGCCAGAGGGCACGTCTTTCCCCTTCCTCCTGCAGAGGGCAGCTCTGGCTACATGCAGGCTGGGCATGAGGAAGGCGGGGGCCTACCTGGGAGAAGGGAAGACTACTGACCTCAGGATCCCCGCCTGTCCCTTCCAATCTAGAGTCCCAGCCCCCTACTGCTCGTTACTTGGGTCCCAAAAAGGAGCGCCTTGCACTGTACCTCCTGCACGCCCAGGGGCTGGTACCCGAGCACCTAGAGACCCGCATGCTGTACAGCAGCAACCAGCCAGGCATTGACCAGGTACGAGGCCGGGGGTCTGGGGTGGAGACAGAGGCACACCCTCTAGAGGCAGCCCAGAGGGAGAGGAGAGGCTGGGCAGAAGACATGCACTCCTGCACGTTAGTAAGCAAGAAGTCCCAGTGACGCCGCTCAGCACGGAGGGTCAGAGCTGGAAAAGTCACGTACAGGAAACAGGCTGGGCGTGCACTGTGGGACATGCTGAGGCGCCCTGGCAGCCAAGGCCAGCCTGCCTCAGTCTCTCCTGAGGGAGGGCATGGCAGCAGCACCCGTTTTGGTGTGCAGACCTGACAAATCTGGTTTGGCTATTAGCGGCAGGAACCCAGAACAGAAGGAATAAAAATCCCAGGGGCCCTATTACCATCCACCCTCTAGCCACCAGAATGGCTCCTTTCACTCTACATTTCTCAAGCTGATACCACATTCTAGACAAAGTGCTCTACTGAGCATTTTTTTAAAAAGCATTCTCACTAAACCTGTTTAAAAAAAAAAAAATTAGGTCAACTTCAAAAAAATAAAAATGAGGTCAGACAGTTTGAAAGAATGTTTATCTTTCTCCCAGTGTTGGCAGTCCCATCTCTCCCTTTCCCACCAGCTTCATCCTCAGACCTCTGTGCTCCGTGATAGCTTCCTGCCCTTGGGAGGAGGCTGCACATCCTAAACAATCTGGAAATCTGGCCCGGCAATCTAGATTACTCTGACTCAGGGCCACTAAGCTGGCTAATAGATGGCTGCTAAATGGCAGGAACCCTCAAGACAGTTACAAGTGACGTCCCAGCCCCATGACCATCACACCTACCAACCTGACTACATCTCCTCCCGGCCAAAATAAAGGGAAAGGGGGAAGCTGGTGGGCAGTTGCCTGACTTCCTGTCTGAAGTCTTTCCCCTCAGACACTGTACCCCACCTCTCAGTGCTGGGAACAGGGCTCCCCAGGCCAGCACAGAGGACAGAGGCTAGGAACCCCTGCCAGCTAACCCATCTCTGCTCCAGGGAAAGATACAAATGTGGGTGGACATCTTCCCCGAGAAACTGGGGCCTCCTGGCCCCCCAGTCAACATCAGGCCCAGGAAGCCTAAAAGGTGAGTGTGGGCGCACTCCCTACCTCCGCACTTCCTGGGGGCAGGCGCCAGGGCTCCCAGTACTGAGCAGCTGGCCTCTCTCCTCTGCTGGGAATCCTGGGGACTCCCTTCCCACCAGGGCAGCATCGGTGTGGGCATGGAGGGCGGCCACCAGGCCAGTCTCCCTCACCGAGCTGCCGCTGGGCAGCGAGTCCTTGGCAAAGCCTCAGGGTGGCACGGCCGCAGGTATGAGCTGCGCTGCATTATCTGGAAAACTGCCCACGTGGACCTGAAGAGCGTCAATCTGAGTAACGAGAAGATGAGTGACATCTACGTCAAAGGGTGAGGCAGAGGCGCAGGGCTCCAGCACAGCTCCCCAAGTCCTGTTCTAGCTTTCCTGTGGGTCCTCCTCATCCAGGGTGACATCTCTCCACTTCCACTGCTCCTGGCATCCACGGGCGGCCCTTCTCAAAAGGCTCCAGCTGGGAACTGGGGACAGTGCACATGAGCCCCAGGTGAGAGGACTCTGACCCCAGGTGGCTATTCGGGCTGGAGAAGGACATGCAGAAGACAGACATCCACTACCAATCCCTGACTGGCGAGGGCATCTTCAACTGGCGGTTCATCTTCACCTTGGACTACCTGGTGGCTGAGCAAATGTGCGTCCTGAGCGAGAAGGTAACGTGGAGCTTCTCTTCCTGCTCCTCCCTTCAAAGACAGAACACTTGGAGTGAGGCCCTGGCAGAAGTCCTCTTCCTGGACAGTCCATCACGCTACATATGGGCTCCTCAGAGGGCCAAGGTGACTCTCCTAAGAGAGTGGCGGTGACACGCTCCTTGCCATCCTTCAGGACTACATATGGAGCTTAGACCCCATGGTGATGAAATTTCCGGCCCGGCTCATCATCCAGATCTGGGACAATGACATCTTCACCTACGATGGCTTCCTAGGTGAGCTCCTGGCCTAGGGCCCATGACCCAGGACAGGGGGCTCCTTTGTGCTGACTGCCTTTCTCTGGGCTCAGGGGTCCTGGAGCTGGATCTGTCTGACATGCCCTTCCCGGCCCAGAACGCAACCATGTGCTCCATCAGGATGATGGATGCTGACCCCAAGTGGCCCCACTTCTTCCCGCACAAGCGCTTCTCCCTCTTTAAGAAGAGGACTGCAACCGGCTGGTGGCCTTGCCAGGTCCTCGAGGATGGCAAGTGGCGCTTATCGGTAGGAGCTGGGGAAGGAGTCCACCGCGCGGCACTGCTGTGTCCCACCCCGCCTCTCAGTCCCCGCCTTACCTAACCCTCTTCCTGTGTGCGTCCCGGGAAGAGGCTCCTGCGGCCACAACTCAGCCTCCCACCCCCTGCGGTGTCTCTAGGGTAAAGTGAAGATGACACTGGAGATTCTGTCTGAGGAGGAAGCCTTAATCAGGGCAGCAGGACGTGGCCAGTCAGAGCCCAACCAATACCCTACACTCCACGCTCCCCCGTAAGGCTCCTTGTTCAGAAAGCTGAGCTGCTGGACCTGGCAGTATACCCAGGGTGGTGACCAGTAGCGACAAGCGGAGGGGTAGTTACTTCCCACCATCTCAGTTCAGTGCTGTCACCATGGGGAGAGAACGGCCAAGGGGAGAGGGGGAGATGGGACAGAACTTGCTTTTAAAAAAGGAAAGGTCATTGCTTTGGAAAACTTGATCTGAAAGTCCCCTCTGTCCTCCATTCTCAAACTCAACTCTGCTCATCGACAGGCGCTCCAACACCTTGCTCTCATGGTTTCGGTCACCCATTAGAAACTTCTGCTATGTTTTCTGGAAACGCTACCGCTTTAAAATCATAATCATCTCAATCATATTGATTATCGGGCTTATGCTGTTCAGTTTCATGTACTCAGCTCCGGTGAGTGATGCCCCTGGGACAGGGACAGAAGCACTGGTTGCTCTGGGCTGCTTCTGGAGAGAGCCTCCGGTTGCTACCTTCAGCTGACTGTTGCCTGCTCTCTCTAGGGCTATTTGGCCATGAAATGGGTCAAACCTGAGCTGCAGCTGGCTGCACCTAAGGATATATTCACCAATATCATCAATTCACTGAACACCAGCAAGGCCAGCTCTTCCAACCTCACCACCCCAAGTCCTACCACAGGCCATTAACTGGAACTCCTGAGGGACACATGAATCATCTGCCACATATTTTTCCAGAACTCGCAGCCCCACAAGGCTAATTTGGCCAGGTTTGCCTGGCTTCTCTTTGCCCACTGTCAACCCTATCCTAGAGCTTCTTGCCAATTATTTCTATCTTCTAGGACAGCAAGGGGCTGGGATATTCTGGCCATTCTGCTGAGAAACCACTTCCAACAAGAAAGTTGTAATTTTCCACTAAAATAAACAAGCTTTGTAACAAAGCCGCTTTGGAATTTTTTTTTTTTTTTTGGGGGGGGGGGTTTGAAGACCATATGAATGGCCAGCCTTTGGACAAGACTCCAGGGACAGGAAGCAGTGTCGCCTTTGGCACTACCTCCGTCTTCTGTCTCTTCCATGCGAAGAGGCTCTGAAGTCAGAGGGAGACAGAAGGAAAGGGCGGCAGTGAGGAGAGGGCGGCCCTGCGGGGTGAGCTGCTGGAGCCACAGCAGGACCCTCCTCCAGGACACACCTGCGGTGCAGTGGCCAGAACAAAATCCAGCCCCGTTTACGGAGGCAAACTTTGTTTCCAGGACAAAATACAAGAGCTAGGACAGAACTCATCATGTCTAGTCAGATGCACCCCTGCGCCTGAGCTGAAATCACACAAAACCCACAAATCTGCACTCTCACTCACATGCTTCCCCTCAAGAGCCCACCTCGGTCCCCCACCACAGGGCCTATCCAATCTCCCCCTGACTTCAAAGACAAAAGAACCACTGGTTTTTCAGTTCCACCTGGTCCTGAGGCCACGCTCTGGATGGGCTGGTCCCCTGGCATGTGGAGCTGCTCTCCTGTGGTGGGGAGAGCTAGGCAGATCCCACCTCAATCCCGCCTGCGGGGCGTGTTCCTGCCCACGATGCCTAAGTAAGCACCTGGAAGGCTAGAAGCCAGCCCAAGAGGACAGAGACCACACCCAGCCAAGGGACCCTCCTTTCATTCTGGCTGAGCTGAGGATTTCACAATGGAGGAAAGGCAGAGCAAAAACTGGCTCAGCAAAAAGGCCTGGAGCCTTCCTAAACCCACGCCTAGAAGGAAGAACATGAGTCAGAAGCTCATGCTGGGTTTCCATCAGCCATTTTACAAGTTTCCCTTAGGCTACAGGCTAGGAGCGCTCAGCTCCGGGCCCTCTATCCACCAGTCTCATCACAGGCAGATAGGTGAACGAGCGGCATGTGACCCCTTCCCAATGGGCAGTGAAAGAGGGCTGACCCCTGGAGGATGACACTCAGGCTCTATTGCTCCATGACAACAAACTCTTCCAGGCACAGGTGAAGAGAGCCTATTGACCCCAGAGAACAGCAACTTTCTTATCCTTCAAGAAAAATAAGCCTGATTTCCTCCTGGGGAGTATCCAGGCCGAGGCTATAAGAAAAAGTTTTCTTACATTTTGGATACCCAAAGTAAGACTCCAAAGACCACGACAGACACAAAACATGCAGCTAAGCAGGCTCCCGTTGGTCCAGAAACATCTCCATGTGGTCAGGTCACTCAGCAAATGTTGCTTCTGGTGTCAAATCCTGGAGCAGGTCTGTGTCAGTTAATCCCACTCATCCATGAGATCTTCCAAGCTCCTCTTGACTTGCACAACAACTTCCAGCCAAACAAGACTGAGGGCCGAATGGAAGAGCCTCGTTGGGAAGATCACAAACACGCCAACCGAACCAGGATCTACGCTGACAAGCAAAGGCTAGAGCAACGGGCCGAAGCAGAAAGCCTTCCCTGCGGACACCTAGTGAGGATCAGTGCAACATGTCTGTCTGCAGCGCTGGCTCCCACAGACAGGCGTGGAAGGTCTTCTCAATCTCAGGCTGCATGTGAAGAGAACAGTAAAAGGAGGGAGAAGCCTCCGCCCAGATTTCCAAGGAGAGCTGCTCAGGTGGACAGAGGCTTAGACCAAAAGCAAAAACGAAATGGACGGATGGCGGGAAGGCATGAGGAGTGTTCCATCCTTTGCAGATTTAATCAAGAAGCACGGGGGTCCTGAGTCCAACACCAAGGCATCCTGGGCTATGAAGTTCTTTTCTGTAATCTTGGCATCATACAGGAGATGCTGTCTCCACCCTCTGAGATCCCAGTGGACGGACTGCAGGGAAAGGCACATCACACAGCATTGCCCTTCGGTGGTGGGCTTCCTGAACCAGAGTCAGAGGTTCTCACAGATGACCATGGGAATACGGTGTCCCTGAACTCAAAGCTCCAGTGACAGAACATAGTCCCTGACCAGCTGCTGGAGAATGGAGACCACTGGGCTGTGTGGTCAGGCCAGCGCCTGTTCCTCCCACACCTTGTGGAAACAGCCACAGTGGGGTGGCGGCAGGAGGGCTCAGTAGAAACGCTTTCGGCTCTGCTCCTGCCACTTGTTGTACAGTATGATGCCAATGACAATGGCAAACACGGAAAACACCAGAGAGAAGAAGACAATGAGGAAGAGGGCCAGGCCACTTAGGGGCGGCAGCGGGGCTGTCACTGAGGAAGCAAGAGAGAAGCAAGTCAGTCCCTGGCAGCCTACCCATTAGGAAAGACCACCACCAAGCTGAAGCCCAGGTTCCAGCACCCATTCTGGGAGACAGAACTCAGACTCTCCCTTTCCAGCTGCTTTAATCCAAAAACGAAGCCGCCACCTCCTGCCCATCTGTAACCTGAAGACAAGTGACAAGAGGTGCCAGTGCTCCATATCCCTCCGTGGAAGGACAAAGGAGACAGCCCTGCCAGCTGTGGGTGGGTCCCTTGGCCCGCCCAGCACTGCGACCCTCCCACCGCGGCCATCTCCCAGGGTCTCCATGCTCACGCTCAGGCAGCTTCATGTTGTCCACCGAGGGCAAGAACACGTCTCGATGCAGCTTCTCCTCTTCTGGGGTTCTCTCCACTGTCAGCTCAAATAGCTTCATGGAAATGATGTCATGGTTGTCTAAAGGAAAAAGTACTGCTCAAGCCCCCTCAAAAAAAGTAATCTTGGCTGAAAACCGTTTGGCTCAGTGGATAGTGCATCGGCCTGTGGACCAGAGGTGGGGGGGGGGGGGGGGGGGGAGGTGTCCCAGGTTTGATTCCGGTCAAGGGCATGTACTTTGGTTGCAGGCACATCCCCGTGGGGGATGTGCAGGAGGCAGCTCATCGATGATTCTCTCTCCTCGATGTTTCTAGCTCTCTATCCCTCTCTCTTCCTCTCTGTAAAAAGTCAATAAAATATATATATATATATATATATATATATATATATATATATATATATTTTTTTTTTTTTTTTTTTTTTTAAAGAGTTATCTTGGAGTATCTTGGCTCAAGCTTCCAACTCCACAGCTAACTAGCAGTGACCTTGAAAAAAATAATTGCAACCTCTGTTTCTCATAAATATATATATATTTCAGAAAGATATAAACATCAATGATGAGATTCATTGATTGGCTCCTTCTGTACACCCACATTGGGGATTGAGCTCACAACTCAGACATGTACCTGGACTGGGAATTGAACCCTGATCTCCTGGTTCATAGGTCGACACTCAACCACTGAGCCATGCTGGACGAGCTCTCTCTTTTTAAAGCATCGTTATAAACTCATCAATTCAAACACATTTGACATGTGTCAATACCCTGAGGTTGTACATCTTACTGATGCTCACCTCCACCCATTTTGTTCCAGTGGGAGCCAATGCAAGTTGGTTTCTGAGTCTTTTTTCACAAATCCAGAAGTTTTTTAAGATTTTTATTTTATTTTATTCAATATTTTATTGGCTTGTTTTCTTTTTCTTTCTTTTCTCTCTCTCTCTCTCTTTAAGAGAGAAGAGAAGAGTCAGGGAGAGAAAGGGATGTGAGAGCATACCCTCTATGGGGGATCGACCTACAACCCAGGCATGTGCCTTGACTGGGAATCAAACCAGCAACTTTATAGTGCACAGGATGACGTTCAACCAACTGAACCACACTGGCAAGGGCCCAGTAATTCTTGATAGCTTCCTTGCTTTTCTGAAAAGTTCCCACTTGCACACTTCTTGCCATAGATCTGCCATTTCTTCAAGAAGCTCCTGTTCCTCTCAGTGGAGATTCTGAGACCACAAATCTGAATGCCACGAAGGTATGGCTACTTGGCTGGATTTCTTGCCATTTCTATGACTAGAATGGCACCCACACCTGCTTAGATTTAAAATGTTAGCAAACCATTAGCAAACTCTGAAAAACTGGGTTTGCCTTCAGTGAGGTTTTTGCTGTCAGGACTGAGTGGGAGCCATGGACAGAATAAAATACAGGGCACTGCTCCTCACAATGTGGGACACCAATGACTGGGACGGCTAGAGGGTATCTCACTTTCTCAGCCATTTCAAAACGCAATGCCTAACAGTAAGGTGTCAACAAGAAAGACTTTAAGAGAGAGAATTTCTATTTAGGGACATTCTACGGGCAGAGAACAGACTCACTAACCTAGGTATTACCACCAAAACCCCAGAGCAAAGGATTCCTTAGGGTAAACAAAAAATGACTGAAGTCTCTTTGGTCATTTCTGACAACCTCCCATTGAAAATCGTACCAGGAAGTTAACTGACAGGTTCTAGAAACATGTAAACTTAAAGGAAAATGCAAAGAAGACATTTCAACTTGAAATACATACCAAGATTACCTAGCAAAGATCTAAAGCTTGTGCCTCTGTGCCTCGGCCCAGGGACCTCTGCCCACAGCCTCAGCCTTCTGCACAGTACTCAGCCCTTGGCTGCCAGGGAGAGCAGGTGAGGGCGGAGTGCTGTGAAGGGGCACCGGGACTTCTAGCAATGACGGAAACACTCTGTCTTGACTATGGAGGTCATGACACAGGTGTAAATATTTGTCAAAACTCTTGCCCCAGAGAAACCAAGATGGCGGCATAGGGTAGACTGAATGCAGCCTACCACAACAAATTTGAATTTAGAACTGGAAAACAGGGGAAACATTGCCCTGAAGCACCGGATGGCTGGCTGAGAGGAGGTTCTACCACATGGGAAGGAGAGAGAAGGCACACTGAACCTCAGGAACTGTGAAGGTGCGGTGAACTGTGCGCGCGAAAAGGCGGCCGCCAGACTTCGCTTCCAGCTTGCTTGTGGAGTGTGGAGAGGGCGGGCCGAGTTCGCTGTTGGCTTACTCCCTGCACACAGAGAGGGCGGACAGCTAATGCGCGGCTGGCTTTCTTGTGCGGGAGGAAAACAGAACCACCCTATTGCTCTGATAGACAGTCCCAGACAGGGAGAGGCCAGACTGTCAGGCAGTGGGCAGAGATCTTTCAGAGGTGTGTGAAGCCAGCGGCCATTACTGCGGGACTCAGAAACCAGACCCTCGTAGGGAGGGGCTGACTAAAGCTTGTCTGCACCACCCTGAGACTCCACCGCATCCAAGCGCAGCACAGAATCCCTTCCATTGGCTAGCTTTCTCATTTGGCACGAATAGGACTCTCCAAGGGAGGGGCAGACAGGAATCCAAAGCTTGTATGCACCTATACCAAAGAGGTGCGTACGCCTGCAACCAATCTTCGGGATTCACCAAAGCTTGGTTGTGCCACTCCGAGACTCCGCCCCATCCAAGCGGAATACAGAAACCCTCCTAGCTGAGCTGAGACACTTCTGATCCTCATAGCCAATCGGCTTGGAGATCAACGCTTCCCAGTGATACCAACAACAAGCAAGGCTTAACAACAAGACTGCACACACAGCCCACAAAGGGCTACACCAAGACTGTCCACCTCAGGTAACTGGGAAGCTGACCCACTGAACCATATAGGACACCTTAGCACACAAAGCCACCCTACCAACTCAGGGAAGCTGCAAATATGCCGAGACAAGGAAACAGATCACAAACAAAAGAAATGGAGGACAAGAAGCGACTGGATATAGAGTTCAAAACCACGCTTATAAGGTTTTTCAAAAATTTCCTAGAAAAGGCCGATAAAATAAACAAGACCTATGAGGATATGAAAAGGGATCAACTAGAAATAAAGAATACATTGTCTGAAATAAAAAATATTTTATGGAGTCCTAAAAACAGAATGGAAGATCGCAAGAATCAAGTCAAAGATTTGGAACACAAAGAGCCAGAGGACACTCCTCCACAGAAGCAAGAAGATAATAGAATCCAGAAAGTTGAAGATAGTGTAAGAAACCTTTGGGACAATTTCAAGCGAACCAACATCAGAATTATGGGGGTCCCAGAAGATGAGAGAGAGCAAGATATCGAAAACATACTGAAAGCAATAGTGACAGAAAACTTCCCCCACCTGGGGAAAGAAACAGACTTACAAGTCCAGGAAGCCCGCAGAACCCCAAACAAAAGGAATCCAAAGAGCAACACACCAAGACACATCATAATTAAAGTCCCAAGAGCAAAAGACAAAGAGAGAATATTAAAAGAAGCAAGAGCAAAGAAGGTAGTTACCTATAAAGGAGCACCCATATGATTATCAGCTGATTTCTCAACAGAAACCATGCAGGCCAGATGGGAATGGCAAGAAATATTCAAGGCGATGAATAGCAAGAACCTACAGCCAAAAATACTCTACCCAGCAAAGCTATCACTCAGAATTGAAGGCCAGATAAAGAGATTAACAAATTAAAAAAAGCTAAAGGAGTTCATCACCGTCAAACCACAATTATATGAATTGCTGAAAGGGGTTCTTTAGGAAGAGGAAGAAGATATAGATAAAAATTATGATCAACAAATACATAACTATCAATAAGTGAAACTAAAAGCCAAGGGAATTAAAAAACCTGATGAACAATATTAATTGGTGAATATAATAGAATCAGAGGTATGGAAGAGGAGTGAACTGACAATTCTTGGGGAAAAGGGGAGTGGGGGGTGCGAGAAGAGCCTGAACAAAACCTGTGCACCTATGGATGAGGACAATAGGGGGTGGGGAAAGGGCAGAGGGTGGGATGGGAACCTGGTGGAGGGGAGCAATGGAGGGGGGGGGAAGAGGAACATTTGTAATAATATGAACAATAAAGATTTATTTTTAAAAAAAACAAAAAAAACCCTCTTGCCCAGCCAGGTATAGCTCAGCAGTTGAGCATCGACTCAGGATCCAAGAGGTCACCGGTTCGATTCCCGGTCAGGGCATATGCCCAGGTTGCAGCCTCAATCCCCAGTGGGGGGTGTGCAGGTGGCAGTCAATCAATGATTCTCTCTCATCATTAATGTTTCTATCTCTCTCTCCCTCTCCTTCTTCTTTGAAATCAATAATAAAAGCAGACTCTTCCAACTATGTACTTCTGTTGTATGGAAAGCACATCTCAATAAAGTTGACTTTTTAAAAAAAGCCATGATTTAAAAAATATTTCATTTTAAAAATCCAGATTCCCAGCTTCTCTTGAAAAACTGACAGCATGGCCACACTGGGCCCACATTTGCTCTTGGCAATGATGCTGGAACCAAGCAGCTGTTGCCCATTTCAGATGGGTGTTTCCCTTTTCCTATTAGCTTTATTCATAATAAATTATTTCAAAAAATCCCAAGAGTTTGGTTCTTTACCTCTTTTCAAATGATGTTATGATTGGGACTAGAGCCAGGGGAGAACAAATGGGGACAAGGAGAAAGGAAGCCGGAGGAGACAGGAAAGAAAAGCAGAGGGTACTGTCAGTGGCACAGACCTTAGGGGCACATGGTCAAAAGAGCTGACGAGAGGACACAGGGCCAGGACTGAGAACAGAGTGTCACGCAGGCAGGGACACAGAGTCACTCTCACTAGGAGAGTGCTAATGCACGGTCGAGACATGGGTCCAGGGCAGTGTGTTCAGAGCGGAATGGCTGGAAACGGGAGCATCTCTACACATGAAACCCAGAAGTCTGAGCACAAAACTGGGCCTGGGGGGATGGCAGAGTCAAGGAGGACGGCAGAGTCACGGAGAAGCCTTGTTCAGAGAAGGGGAACTAAGTACATTAGGAGTGGGAGGGAGGAAGCGGACTAGAAAGGTGGCACCAGAGTCAGAAAAGCGCAGAGCTCAAAACACAGCTGGAGAGTGGGCTCCTAGGACAGGCAAACACTACTTTCCCGTAGCCCCAACCATCTCCTAGGACAGCTGTCCAAGGCAAGCCTAGACCTGGGGTCTTAAGGAATCTGAGTACGAGAATGCAGAAAGATAAGCACTTCCAGAATCTTCCAGTGCTTGTCTGGATCTTGCCTCCAGAAGCTTCACCGCGGCCTGGCCACTGAGACATGACCTCAGTCAGGGCGAATGAGCAGTGCAGTGGGCGTACCTGAGAGATCCCCGGTGACGGAGGAGGTGCCAAAGTAGTAGCCCCGGGGCAGGCGGACCCCGGGCACCTCAATGCAGTCCCTCCACTCATGCTTGCCATCGATGTCCAACATTATCTAGAATAAAAAGAAGAGAGGAATCAGGACCAGGCCCCGGGAGCAGGAGCCAGACAGCCCATACTGCCAACTGGTGCCAACTCACCGTCAAATGCCTCTTGACATAGCGAATCACAAGGAAAGTGTCATGCTGGAGATTGCGGACAATGGCCGTGCAGCCCCCCAGCTCTGTGGGCCGCCCATCCCGCTCATGATCATAGCTGAGGGAGCCATTGTTCACCATGGCGGAGATGTAGGGGAACACCCGCTGGGAAGGCAGGGAAGGAAAAGCAGAGGACAATGAGAAAGGACTCTCAGGAGCCTGTGCAAAGAGCAACAAGAACTGCATATACAAGCTGAGCACATACAGCGACCGGACAATAGCCCAGCCTCATCACTAACCACCCACTAGACCCCACACTCCAGTGATGTGGCCCAGGAAGCGACTAACTCTGGCCTTGGCTCCAGGGATCCTCCTTGCAAAAGCCTGGACGGGTCCCAACATGGTCCCTCTAAGGCTCTAACCTCCTCCCCGAGAACACCATTTTGCACTGTTCTTTTGCCCCACACTAGCGGCTTTTTGTGTTTACGTACCTATCTACCCAACTGCCATGTAAACTCTTTTAAGAAAAAATAATTTGTTATGCTTTTTCACATGTCTCCACATTAGCATATTTTCCCCCTAACCTCCCACTCCCTGAGTGTTTTGCACACAACAGGTATCCTGAAAATACCTTTTGATGAGGAAAATCTTTCCATTCAGGACAGTTCCTTTCAAATTCTAAAATCCTATAAGCACATGATGCCAAATGGACCAGGACTCAAAAAGAATCAGGCTGCTGGATGGTGTTCTCCAGCCAACATGACTGTTTTAGCCAAAACACCTTCCAGCCCCGTTAAGCTTCAGCCACAACCTCTCCCAATAACACACAGAGCAAAGTTCTCCCAGATCCCACCCACTTTCCCACCCTACTTCAGAGGCCCTCTACCTTCAACAAAATTATAGGAGCACATCTTCCTTAGGAATTCAGAGCAAGCCCAGTGCTGGGCAGTGCAGGTGGAAGAAGAGATCACATGACACATGCCACTTGGTGAGTTCCACACTGTCCCCAATATCAGCATGCAGGTGAAGATGCACTCACAATCAGAGACTGATGACTCTCGAGAGCCACATGGATTTTAAACAGTAGCTAATGTTGGATGAGCACACAGGGAAGAAAGGATGGCCATGGTGGGTCAAGAACTGAATACCTGGATTCCTGGAGAATATCGCCTCTTCTGGGCCTGAGAGGGTCCAACAGGTTTGAAAACAAGAGAGGGCACAGAAGACAGGAGACCAAGTCAGAAAGAAACAGTCATCGGAGAGCCAAGACCCAGCAGAGGTGGGTGAGCAAACCAGTCTCAATCCCTAAACAGAAATTTAGGGTCCATGGAGGGCACTCAAGTCCTTGTGTCTCTCAGAATTATAGGCAAAACTATATGCACAGGTGCTTGTACATTATGAGGAGAGGAGGTGTTTCTATGACCAGGACTGCAAAGAAGTCCTGTGGGAGGACCTCTCTCAGGTCCTGAAGCTTACAGAAGCTTTAAAAACACACAGCACTACACCACCCAAGCAGGCCCCACTCATGTCTCTGAGAGCCAGGTCAGGTCAAACTTTGTGCCCAGATTGCAGTATTTCTATGGCAAGGAGAGAGACATCGCTAAGTTCTTCCAAATTCAAGATGCTGTTTACTGTCCAGGATCTCAGGATATAGCTAGTGCCCAGAAGACAAAAAGCCCAGCACGTGAGAGGCTGTGAAATGAACATGAATCCAAAGGGATCATTTACCCTCTAATTTAGCCTGTGGACATATATTTCCAAACATATAACCTATAACATGTGGGCAAGGCAAAGCTCCGTGGCAGTGTTGAAACATGGCAGGTGGTTCAAGGATAGTTTTGCTCCAGTGCTAGCAACAAGAGATACCCACACTGGCTCAGTTCAGCCCCACCTACGAAAAGGGTGTGGAAGGGTGTAGAGCACAAAGCGTTCCTTCCTGATGCTTCCTGAGACCTGTTTCCAGCCAGCACTGTTCCAGATGCTTTAGGTTCAATGGGAAACAACACAGACAGTACCTGCTCTCATGGAGCCGACAATAAAGTGGAGGAGACAAATTCTAAGTAAATAAAATTTCAGACTGTGATAAATACTGGGATGAGAACAGAAGAGGTGATCCAATAGAGACCAATAAGGAGACAAGAGCTGAGAGCCAGGTAGTTGGAGGCAGTCCCCAAAGCAGCATGACTTTGGCATATCCGTGGACTAGAAGACACAGGTGTTTGAAACTCAGCTAGTGAGGAATGGGCAGGAGCCAGATCCCACTGTAAGGAGTTTAGGGTGGGCCTCAGAGCAGCTCCCAGCTGTGAAATTGTACAGGACTACAACAGGAGAGGAAATGAATCTGTGACGATAAACTGCCAAAGGCACTCTTCTACCTCTGTCATCTGGAACAGAGATTTCAACCGCGTGCCACAAAGATTTTTAAAATACGCAATACCCGAGCATTTAGTCAGGGACATTGATCTCTTTTCCCTTAGACTGTCACATGAAAAAATGGCAATAAACCTAGATGGTTTGGCTCAGTGGATAGAGCATCGGCCTGTGGAGGGAAGGGTCCTGGCTTCACTTCCAGTCAAGGGCACATGCCCGGGTTGCGGGTTTGACCCCCAGTAGGGATGTTCAGAAGGCAGCCAGTCAATGATTCTCTCTCATCATTGATGTTTCTATATCTCCCTCTCCCTCTCCCCTCCTCTCTGAAATCAATAAAAATCTATTTTTTTAAAAAGACAACAGCTACACAGCAATAGTTGTCCGGTGCAAATGGATCAAAATTATACCTTCTGGCCTGGCCAATGTGGCTCAGTTATTGAGCATAGACCTATGAACCAGGAGGTCATGGTTCAATTCCTGGTCAGGGCACATGCCCGGGTTCTGAGCTCAATCCCGTGTGGGGCATGCAGGAAGCAAACAATCAATGATTCTCTCTCATCATTGATGTTTCTCTCTCTCTCTTCCCCTCCTTTCCTCTCTGAAATCAATAAAAATACTTTTTTCCCCCCCCCTTGCTGTTTTGGCTCAATAGATAGACCATTAGCCTGCAGACTGAAGGGTCCTGGGTTTGATTCCAATCAAGGACACATACCCAGGTTTTGGGCTTGATCCCCAGTAGGAGGCATGCAAGAGCAGCCGATCAATGATTCTCTCTCATCATTGATATTCCTCTCTTTCTCCCTCTCTCCCTCTCCCTTCCTCTCTTAAGTCAATAAAAAATGTTTTTTTAAAAATACATATTTACATATTTTTAAATTATACCTTCTGATTTTTTGGTCAGATTGGCAAAAAGTATATTTTTTTGGTGTGCTGCAGAATTTCAGTAATTCGTTTATGTGCTCTGAGATGAAAAGGTTGGAAATCACTGCTCTAGTCTAGAACAGATTGGTGAGTGCGTCACCAAACGCTTTACAGAAATGGGCTTGCTAAGAAAGTCCTAAGTGAACAGTTAGGGAAAGGAAGGGAGGAGCAATGCCCTAGGGCTCCGATGATCCTAAGGCTTGCTTCATTTACCAACTCCTGACTGCCTAGAACTGTCCTCCACCTGAAGGGGGCTCATTGGTCCCAGGCTGGTGAGGCACCCAATATCCCAACAGAGGCGACTGAGGGAGCTTTAAGCGGCACCTACATGTTCCTCAGTTACAGTCGCCTCAGCAGGTCTAGAGTAGGAGACAGGCTTATTATTTTTTTTTAAAAGCAACACAGATAGCTACAATGTACAGCCAAATTTAAGAAACACTACACTGGACACAGCCCCACAGCTTTCGAGCTGACCTGTCTCCTCCAGTCACTCATGGCCTCTGACCGTGCCCTCACATGAATGAGTATTTAAATGCACCTTACTTTCCATGCCCAGTCAGGAGTCCGGGAAGTGTCTCTTGGGGACCCACTAACAGTCGTTCCTTTCCTTGGAAGGCAGCCTTCATGGAGCTGGGACCAGAGGCTGGAGAATTACAATGACTTGGGCAAAGGTGGCAGTTTCAATCATAATTGAAGAGTCACCAAAAATGAGGAACTCCTGCCTATTGTGTAAATCGCCGTCTGGAGGTGGAGAAATGCTTTCACGTTTTTGTACTGCAAGGCTGCTTTTTAAAAGGGCACCCACACATAATTGTTCCTTCAACATATCATGACTGAAAGGAGACCTGTGGGCTTGTGGGTTTCGAACCCTGTGCTAAAACTCCCAGACCCGAAGCACACGAGCTGTGAACCCCTGAACAGAACAGAGCAGGCCTGGCCTATCAGCAGGGAGAGCTGTTCTCACCGCGACCACGCCACTCCACCAGGGGAGACCCTCTCCTGCCGGAAGCAGGGAGGACACACGGCACACAGGGTAATGATGAAGACGAAATGAGACGTGGAAAGCATCTGGTACAGTGTCCGGCCTCAGGAGGGAGTCAATAAATAATAAACGTTCATGACTAAATGAATGAATTCCAGGTAGGAACATTGTTTACAGGTTCTCATCTATACCCACAATGCTAAACACATCGTTTAGGGCAGTAATTCCCAGACCACTGGCTTGTCATGGACCAATAAAACCTCCAAAAATATTTTGGAGGTTAACAGGTTTACCTTGTGGTTTTCTGACCTACTAAATACCTTAAAATACAATGACAAGACAACCATCCTTATAAACATCACTTTTTTTTATAAATATCATTTTTCTAAAAGAACATTTTAATGTCAAAAATAGAAATACATAAAGTCATAATAAACATTTAGCATCTATCAAAAGTCACCTCACTGCTCTTACTCAGACCAGTGAAACTGTCTCCAACCGACAGGAGCTCATGAACTTGGGAGCCACTCTTTAGGGCAGTTTTTCCAACTAAGCCATCCTGCAGCTGAGTAAGCTGGCCGAGTTTGCTCCCTGAACCTAGACAGAGATGAAGAAACACAGGGTGGGAGAGAACGGAGCCACAGGGCTACTGCGCAGACCCCTGCGGGGTGGCCCTTGTGAGTGTCAGCTAGTGGGGAGACCAGCTGGCGCTTTCTGAGGGCTTCCTGTGGGCCAGGCACTGTGTCAGTCACGAGCACATCGCATTCCTCTGATTATCACAGCCCGTTCGGGGATAGCACTGGCATTCCCATTCACAGGGAAGAAACCTTGTTTAAGAGGACACAGCTGGTTTAATAGGCTTTGCCTTGGCCCGTGCGCCTCAGCTGGTCGGAGCATCATCCCATACCCCAAAAGGTTGTGAATTTGATTCCCAGTCAGGGCACATACCTAGATTGGGGGTTCGATCCTGGTCAGGCTGCATACAAGAAGCAACCAACCAATGTTTTCTTATTGCGCTCTCCCCTCCCCCCCCCATCTCTCTCATTTCCTCTCTCTAAAATCAAGAAGCATATCCTCCGGTGAGGATTAAAAAAGAGAGAGAGCTCGAACACAGGAACTGAGGAGTGAAAGCAGGATTTAAATAGGCAGCCGGAGCCGAGTCCTGGCTCAGTCACTCAGTGAGAGCTACACGGCTCTCACCATCTACCAACATGGAGAAACGCCTAGTATTTCCTGTGAGATACGAAACAAAAAGCTAGATCTCCACCTGAAACATGAAGAAACACTGGGGACGCTGCCAGGTGGAAGGACACACAGCTGAATGCACCACGGCATCGGGCTTTCCTTTTGCCATGAAGGGCAGACCTGACAACTGGCGAAACTGAATAAGGTCAGTAAATTAGACAGTAGTGTTGATATCAATATTAAGTGCCTGATTTTGATCACTGTGCTGTGGTTATGTAAGAGAATTCCTTGTGTTTAGGAAAAACAAGTGAAGTATTTAGAATAAAGGGAGCATCTTAAAGAAAGGCAATTTGCTCCTTAGCTCAGGAAAATATACACAGACAGACAGACAGACAGACACAGATACAGACACATACACACAAAGGTAAAAGAAAAGGCAAAGTGCTCTGCCAGGATGAGTCAGTGGGTAGAGCATCAGCCTGTGAATGGAAGGGTCTTGGGTTTGATTCCTGGTCAAGGGCATGTACCTGGATTGTAGGTTTGCTCTCCCAGCCCCAGTCAGGGTGCATGCAGGAGGCAACCAATCAATGTTTCTCTCCCTCCTTCCCTTCCATCCTCTCTCAATGGAAAAAATATCCTTTGGTGAGGATTAGCAACAAAAAAGGCAAAGCAAATGTAATAAGACATTAACATTTTGGGAATCTGCAAAAAGAACACCCTGAA